CTATGACTTAGTTAATTACTGCGAATGACTGCATAGTAACAGTCGAAGAGAGTGCCTGCGTCGGGCTATACTCTCGGGGCGTGACTCCGACGATTTAGAAAATCGTCATGCTTATAAGTGATCAAACTGTACAGCCAGGGCACGTACATACATAGGAAATTGTTATGCTTGTAGATGATTGGAATGTACGAGCCTTGGCACGTACGTAGGGAATAATCACGATTATAAAACTAAGGAAGCCTGAGTGGGCAAAATGTACAGCCTTGGCTCGTACAGTGACGGATCTGACAAATAGTAAACTTTACAGGGCAGCCATTTCAAATAATCATGTTGGTTTTTTTGTCATAACTTTTTTAATTCATTTTCTGTAATTATGAAAATTGGCATACAAGCAAACAAAAATAATAACATAAAATTACACAGTTTTCTAGAAAAATCACTTGCGTCGTTTTACTTCGGAGTTAACACAGTCACATAGTATTATCCAACATTATTCTTCGGACATTATTCCTTGAAGAAAAGACGGAAGTTACTTTACCATCTTGTTCTATCAACTTACTGAGTAATATTTTGTCGGATATCTGTCACATTTTATTTTAATTGCGAGTAAGTAGTAGGTCTGTAAGTAACCAGATAAAGATGTCTAACACAAACACAGACTAATTGGTCGTACTTCTTTTACTCTACGTGATATGCATCACGCTTTAATTAAGAAATTTTTATCAATAGTTTTCATTTATTACTATTATAGTAATAAATTACTATTATAGTTATTAATTTATTAAATTAATAACTTAAAACTTAAACACTAATCATGTTTTATGAGCATAGCTTAAGTATCAAAATCATTCTCATATCTATCATAAGTATATAATTACAAAAGAAACTACATTTATTAAAATAAATAAATTCTTAAAAATCACAACTTCCGAGATCAAAATACTAAACAATAAAGCAAGTAAAAATATGAAGAAAAAGCAACCTTTTACATAATTATTCAGTCAGACTCATTGCCGTCATAACATTACGTCCATGTTAAACTTCTGAAAAAGTTATGGTATTTCGCAGCTATTATTGATGAACTGCATAGACTAAAAAGGTCTTTATATTATCATTACTAATTGGAATCGGACCTTTATAAGCTTTGTCTAAGGCTGGAGTTTTGTAATTTCTAGTATTCTTTCTAAGCACAAGGGTCATTAAGTTCATTCTTCAGATAAAGCATATTTGTATCGAATTTTATTGCTCTCAGTCCCCTCGACACAAACTTCTTTTATGCCTGTCCAAGTAAGTTTGTTGTTAGCTGTATTTTTAACCCAGTTCTTATTTTTTACCTGATCTTGAAAATCAAACACTAATGACTGATTATCGGCTATAACTTCATATGAATCACCCGTTACTGTAGCCCAACGTACAAGTAATTTCCATTCATCTGGTGTATAAATTGTTTTGTGTCAGCAGCCTTTTCTATAACACTGTGGACAGAATCACCCTCGTTTTGGGTGTGTTTCAAGAAATCTATGTGTTATATTAATTCCATATTCCTTTACAAACCTCTATTTTTGATGTATCTTTTGGAAAAAGAAACTTGTAAGTGAATTGACGATTATGCTTTAAAACTCTTTGAAGGCCCTTTTCTTTTGCTGTTTACAGTGTAAAACTTATCAAATGCATCCTCTCTTTCTTCAAGTGTTAACATAGGCTATCGTTTATTTTTACCCGCGCACGGCTTACCCATAGTTTTTTGTGGTACAAGAAGGCCCTTTTTGGAGGAGTATTCTTTTCCACCATTCGTTAAGCGCTTTCTAGTAATGTCTTTCCAATCAACATAATTTTGGACACGTTTTTTAACTCTACATCGAATAACAGGCGCTGGAGACAACTGACATGAATACACAACTGTCTTGATTGAGGGACAGTTGCTGTAGTCCGTATCATCATCGTGAGTGGTACAAAAACTTCGTTACATGCTTCACCACAGGGGTTTGATTGATGGCATAGGTGTTTGTCCGTTATTGACAACCCGGGCAATCGATTGTGGGAAAGGTGGTAGATCTGATATCAAAGTATTTAAAGGACTTAATGCTGAGCTGATATTTAAAGACACGGCATGCAGATTTTCTGACGAGATTAAATCTAGATAAGGATCTTCTTTAAGAAAACAAGTAGGATGGTATGTTTGGGTTAATATTAGGTCCTTACATATGAAATTGGCGTTTTTCGTACTGGCCACTTTAATCACGATGTTCTCCTCTTTGGTAAGGAATTCCAAATTCAAATTTGGACAGCTATTTACTCATGTATTTGTGCTTCGATGACCGTCATTCATTTGTTTTTTCTTCTGTTTTTATCTGTTTGCATCACTCATTTTACAAAATGGAAAACTTAAAGTATCTCATTATTTACAAGTACGAGTTCCGCCGTGGCACTAGTGCTGCGGAAACGACACGAAGGGTGAATGATGTGTATGGCGGTCATGTTGCAAAAGAAAACACAGTTCGTTTTTGGTTCCAACGTTTTTGTTCTGGAAATTTCGACCTGCAGAACAAGCCCCGTGGACGGCCTGAGACCCAAGTTGATAATGAAGTATTGAAGGCTATTGTGGAAGCGGATCCATCGCAAACCACGTCCGAGTTAGCTGCAGGCTGCGGTGTTAGTGATAAAACTGTTTTAATTCACTTGAAGCAAATTGGGAAGATTAAAAAGCTTGAAAGATGGGTACCTCACGAATTGACTGAAGCAAACCGGCAAACGCGCGTGGACTGCTGCGTTACATTACTGAACCGGCACAATAATGAAGGTATTTTAAATCGAATCATTACCTGTGATGAAAAATGGATTCTTTACGATAATCGAAAGTGCTCAGCGCAATGGTTGGATCCTGGCCAGCCAGCCAAATCCTGCCCCAAGCGAAAATTAACCCCAAAAAAGTTACTTGTAAGCGTTTGGTGGACTAGTGCCGGTATTGTTCATTGCAGTTTTCTCAAATCTGGCCAGACTATTACGGCTGATGTCTATTGTCAGCAATTGCAAACCATGATGGAAAAGCTAGCGGCTAAACAACCTAGGCTGGTCAATCGCTCCACGCCACTGCTACTTCACGACAACGCTAGACCACACACTGCACAACAGACGTCTACCAAATTAGAAGAGCTTCAATTGGAATGTCTTGAAATCCTCCGTACTACCTTGCTCCAACAAATTACCATTTTTTTCGCAATTTGGACAACTTCTTGCAAGGGAAAAAAATTAACTCTGATTCGGCAGTCGAAATCGCCTTCACAGATTTTATTGATTCCCGTCCGACTGGTCTTTTTAGTAAAGGGATCAATGAACTACCTATGAGATGGCAAAAGTGCATAGAAAACAATGGTTCATACTTTGATTAATTAAATATATTATATTTAAAAATATTCGACTTTTTGTTCCTCCCATACAAAACGCCAATTTCATATGTAATGACCTAATGTTTTCATCTGTAATACTTTCGCTTATTCCGTGTAAATCGTCTGCAAAGACATTCGCATAAATGTATTTCATTTTTTTCTATTAAATGGCGTGCTCCTGAAGGTAATGTTGAATGGAAACGTATCAGTGTGTGAAAAGTATAATATAAATTCTTAATATCACAAGTCAACGTTTACTCCTAAGGTGATTAATAAAAATATTCGAAACTACATAAATAATTCAATTTACTTCTTATTTATACAAGTAGAACATTATTCCGGTAGGATTGTTATTTGATATGAAAATATATTAAATATATACAAATAATCATAGTTTTTCAGTAGAAAAAAGTTGGAACTGAATTAAGTACAAATAACAAAGTGGGATGGTCAGATACGACTATTAAGCGGGCCATAGACGGACCGCATGTTGCAGCCGATACCGACTGCTCTAAGCGGTCGCCGCACGGCGATCTGCAGTTTCCATACTAAATTCATATTCGCAATACACGGACCGCTCGAGCAGTTCCTGAGCAAACCGACTGCAACATGAGGTCCGTCTATGGCCCGCTTTACATAAAAGAGCATGTTCATGCAATAACATCGGATGTGACCACGCGTCACTATTATGTCCACAGAAAAATTTATTATAGTCACAATATACAACTTGAAAATTAAAATTAATCTTTTTAAATATATAATATTATGAACTCCACACATTAATGTATTATCAGATAGCCAACCTAATTTCTTTGCAAATGAAATTTTTAACTTGATTTATAGTTTTGCGTAGAAAACTGACGGATAGTCAGTAACGATACTATAGTCATTGACTTTGGAATATTTCGTAACATAGAATAATGGCGTGTCGATACGTCGGGAGCGGGAGGGGCAAGCCATCAATTGCAGCAAAACGTGGCCCGTTTAGAAGCGCCATAAGAAAAACATCATTTTTTAGTTAGTTTTATTTAGCAAAAATACACATTTTATCTTTTCTATTAATTTTGTCTATTCTATGGACAGTTAATAATTAAAATATTTAGTTATTAGTTCAAATTAAGGCTTTGATCTCTGATCATATTTTTACCATGATTATTTTATATTTTTTCTTAAAAAATGCTGATTTAAACAAAAAAAAAATACTTTTCTTATTATGTTTTCCATCTCTGGCTATATTTTCAGTGTAACTGTTTTTTATTATATATAATTTATTTTAGCTGTAGGATTACGAAATAAATAAATACTTTTTATTTTTTTTCATACAGGATTTGTTTATGACCCTTATAAGTGATTAAAATGTACAGCCATGGCACATACATAGGAAATCGTCACGCTTATAACACTAAGAAAGCCTCAGAGAGCAAACGTACAGCATTGGCTCGTACATTTCTTAAAATTTTAATCTTTGACATAACGATTTTATTTTTGTTAACAGCGATGATAAGGAGGAAATATACAGAATAGAACATTGGAGAACTATAATTAGGAAAACATTTGAGGTGAGGGTCATATTTAATTCTTAAATATATGACTAACAATTAATAATTCCATTAGTTATATTCTCCGCCGGGTGCCCTTCCTCGTGGAGGGTTTCTTGAAGACTTCTTTTTTCTGGAAATCGTCATCATCTGAAAGAAAGTATAAAATGGGTTAATTGTGAGTGTTTATTTCGTTTTGTATTCGGTATATTCGTTCCAAATGCTTTACCAGACTCGTCGGATTCGCAGTCGTCGGTCTTCTTCCGAGCGGCTCTCGGTTTCCTGGCCGACTTCCGGACGCCGAGCGGCGTCGCGGCCGCGTTCGGGGCTTCGTTCTCGTCGGGGCTGGGCGACTCGGTTCGCGCTTTTCTCGGCGCGGGTCTCCTTCGGGGTGTGGCTTTAGGGGCGGGGCGTTCGCTTTCGTCCGACTGTTTGTTCCCGTGTTCCTCGTCGTTATCCTTCACCGCGAAGCATTCCTCGATTTTGTCACCCAGTTCCGTCACTAAGGCCTGAAACGAAACGGGAATAATACGATTAAAATAATATTTTAAAAGAGCCAGAGACACCGGACTACGGACGCCGACCTTTATTTCGTTTTTGGCCATCTTGGAGGCGTTGTTCATGAGGGTGTTGAAGGAGTCCATGACTCCGTCGCAGTGCAGTTTGTCTCTGTAGCAGTCGAGGTTCTCGATGAGCTTCTTGAGCGCCCTCTCGTTGTAGGTGAACAGGGACAGACAGAAGGCGAGGTCCCTCCATTGGCGCTCGTCCGTCGCCAGTTTGAATCTTTGGCAGAGCTTCTCTATCAGCGCCTCCGTCTGACGATCCTTCTGGATGAGGGAGGTTATGTACCTGAAACGGAGACGGCGATTTAACACGAAGCCTGTCGCCCCGCCGTCGACGTCCGAAAGAAACTAAAGGGCGCCGACCTCATGATGACCCGGTACTTGTCTTCCGCGACGTTCAGCTCGGGATCGCCGAGCCTCGAAATGATGTCCGGCATCACGTTGTAGAGCGCGTTCCCCTTGAGCGAGAGCTGCTTGAAGAAGAGCCTGGTCATGTCGGCCACTCGCCGGTCGGGGTCGGCGCAGCAGAGCGCCATGTCCGCGATCTGCCCCTTCACGCGCACCATCTCGTGGAGCACGAGGAAGCACAGCATCTTCACGGCGCATCGGCGGACCTCCGGATCCTCATCGCTCAGACTGAAACGAGAGGGGTCGCCTCAGAACCTTGCGCCGCCTCGCCGTCCCCGTCGAGGTCGAGAACCGGAGAGACCCTCACATGCGGTAGACGTGCGGAGTCCACGGCTGGGTGAGGTTCGGGAACCGGAGGGTGAGGTCGGCGAAGGCGATCGTGAGGTTGTTCCGGACGGCGACGTCGCGGCACCGCTTCAGCATCGTCACCGTCAGCTGCAGGCCCTCCTCGCACACGGCGCTCGACACCAGCATGAACCTGCGACGGGGAATCGTGAGCGTCGAGCCTCGCGACGAGCGCGCGAGACGGCCGAAGCGCGGACCTGGTGTAGGCGAGAGCGGCCGCGACCTGCAACCGCTGCGGAGTCCCGGGCGCGGTCAGGGCGTGGCGCAGGAGCGGGGCGTAGCGGGCGAGAGCGGTGCCCGGCCCCACGACGTCTCTCTCGCAGACGGCCCTCACGTACTCGGCGTCGGCGTCGTCCGCCACGGCGCCCTCCAGCGCCTCCTCCTCGGTCATCGTGCCGTCGGCCTGCGAGCGCAACCAATCAGACCGAGTCTACGTCGACGCGGGACGGTAGGAGTCGGAACCGATACGAGACCGTCTGCCGGGCTCCGGAGCCGACGCTCGGAGTGCGCGCGCCCCTGGAAGACGCGCTGGCGTTGCTGGCATTCATGAGAGTCTGGCGCCGCAGGTCTTGCGCTCTGCCGCGCCGGGCGGGAGTCGCGGCTTTCTTTCTCTTCTCCTCCGCTTTCCGCTCCTCTCGAACCTGCGAAGCGGAAATGTTTACGTCGTTACGTTCCGTGAGGGCCGGAGAGGGCCGAAGAGGGGCGGATCACTCGCCTGGTTGCGTCGCCTCAGTTCGCTGTACACCGATATATCGAGGTGTATGAGCTGCTGCAGCGCCACGTGACCCAACACGAAGACGAACCTCGTCAGCAACTCCGCGGGAACGTCGGTCGAGTCGTCGTCCGCGTCGGTCGTCTGCTCTTCGATACGCGCGTACATCTCCGCCAACAGCTCGGAGGCGACGACGTCGGGTGTGTCGCACGCGGCGTAGACGAAGTCGAGGGAGTTGGCGGCGAACGACACGAAGTCTTCGAACGTCGTGAACGCTTCCGAGAGGCTGTCGCGGAGGGCCGCGAAGATCGGGTCGTCGGCGGAGAGTCTCCGGTCTCTCTTGGCCAGAGACGTCAGCAGCTGAGCGCTCAGATCCCGCGAGTCGTAGTCTCCGGCGAGGCCGTGAGACCGAACGAGCTCCAAGTTGGCGACCGCCACGGAAGGTTTGGCCTTGGCGATCATGACCAGCAAGGACAGGGCCGCGTACCCGTCCGAATCGGTGGTGCCGTCGATTTTTTTCAGAAACATTTCCCAGAACACCTGTAACGCGAAATGACATTTTCACATAGGAAACGCCGTAGAGGCGAAGCCCGAAGAGAGCGAAAAGTCACCTGAATGACGGCGGGCGAGATGTCTCCCCTCGACACCCACTTCTCCACCAAGTGCTGCAGAGCCAGCGCCGAGTCTCGGTCGACGATCCAAAGCAGGGAAACCAGGTTCTTGGCGACGGTGAAGGCTCGGGCTCGTTCCGCTCTGCTCTCGCACTCCAGGTACATCTCCCGATAGGCGCGCTCCACGGCTTCCCGTTTGTCCTGAAGGCCTCAACGTTAGCGATTAGGGATCTCGATAGCGGTCGAGACTAAAGACACCGAAGAGACACCGACTTGATCCCGCGACCACACGAGGACGAGCATGTTGGAAATGCCGACTTTGGCCGACTCCACGTGGAAATGATGAGCCGCCGTGAAGAAGTCGATGGCCTCGTTGACGTCTCCCGCTTGCTTCGAGGTCAGCAGGGCGTCGATCACAGGAACGGCTTCGGCGATGAGTCGGCAGAAGCGCACGGACTCTTGAAGAAACGCGACGATGCTCTCCTTCTCTTCCGTGCGCTTCAGCAGCGCCATCTCGTTTTCGCACTCGGAAACCGAACGACTTTTCTCCGGCGTCACGTACATATTCCGCAACAGGGCCACGAAGTATTCCAGCTGCAACGAGCGGAGATAGTGTTATTAGTGGTGATTAGTGGTTAGCCATATTAGTGCGGATTGCGAGATCTCGACGTCTCACAGTGACAAACCATACCTGGTCGCTCTTGGGCAGACTGCATCTCAGGAATTTGGCTTCGGGATGTTGCCTCTCGACGTGCTTCACTATTAAATACGCCTTATAATAGTTTTCTTCCCTCAAACTGGCTCGAATCGCTCGATACAAATTGTCTACGGTGGACTGGGACAACTCCATTTCGTCTTGGGTCAATAGATTCATTTTTTCTTTAATCGTTTTCACGACATCTTTCTCCATTTCATCCCACTTTCTCACCAGTTCCGGATCCGGATCCGGATTGAGCTTCTTCTGAAGACTTTCGAGAGCTTCGGTCTCCGCGGCGAGCTGCTCCTCGAGCGAGTCCAACTTGAGTCGAGCCGAAAACGGATTACACTCCAGGAAGATCTACGAAACGTAAGCGATCGATAAGGAGCATTACGACGACGACACGTTTTAGCACCGAAATGGAACGAGAGAGGTCACCTTGACGAGCTGAATGGCAGCTTTCCTGACGAGAGCCGCCTTATCTCGGAGCCTTCCCACGGATCGCTCCAATACGACTTGTTGTCTGGTGACGGGCACACAGCTCTCCTTTTGCAAACGAGACCAGTATTGGAGAACCTGAAGCATCAAGCGAGTTAAGCGTCTAGCTCACTACAGTTTATATCACAAGTAGGATAATTTGTAATGAGACAAGTCAATCATTGAATCACTCTTCATAAGATATTGCGCTTTCCTGCCGCCGGCGAGCTCGACAAGCAATATATGTAATTTTATATCTTCTAAATGAAAAACTAAACGGAAGCGACAAGAAACGTACATCGTGTTTTTTAGCTTTTGCCCTTGAACCGGTTTCTACGATGTGTTTGAAGGGTAAATTCTAGATTTCGTTATTCAAACTAAAAGATGTTTGCAGGACGTTTTAAAATATACATTGTAGGTGACTTCGCACGACAGACACATTATTGAACATCCGTAACGCTTTCTACACATTAGAATAACACATATCAGGAAAAGAAATAAAATAAAAGAAGACAAAGGACGGTCTAACTGTTCAAAGCAGTTTCAAACGTTACTTTTGACGCATCGCATCGCATCGCATCGCATTCGCATTCACATGATCGAAATCGAGTTACAATTGAGAAATCTAAAAGGCCCGAGTAATTTTCAAACTCATCAGAGTGTTTTTGAGTAACAGTGGTTTCTTTTCTACGGGAAGAAATGTCGAATACTGGTGTTCCATAGTCCTAGGTGCTAACCTCGGTTACGCGAAGTACTAGCATTTACCTTATGTCGCACATATGCAGACTGGTCGTGCAGGTGTTCGAACAAGTCATCGAGGAGGTCATCCCTTTGTATTCTCTGTTCGTCGCTCAGGTCTTCTCCTTTCAACTCCATCACTAATATTTCACACATCATCCCCAGGATACTTATCCTTAATGTGTACGACTGGAATATAAATATTTAGAAATTATAAGAGTTATCGAAAAAACTTAACAAACCGAAGGCTAGTAAAATAAAAAAATAAAATAAAATATGTTTATTATGGAACATAAGATACATGTATCACTTATTCCACGTCATTAAATTTGAAGGCATCCCTACTCATCGGCAAAGAAGACAGAGGGTGTAGGCCGAGAGAAAAAGCCGGCGTAAAAAACTCTCGGTACTCTTTTAAAACAGCAAATCATCAAACAACACTTATTTAAAACAAATATCGCAAATTGATTAGAAGTAGCCTGTCTAGCACTAGTCCCAGGCCCTTTTATCAACTAGATAATCGTTGACTTTATAGTAAGCCTTTTTACACAGCTTTTCTTTAATACATTTTTTAAATTTATTGAAAGGCAGTGATAAAAGAGCCTCTGGGATTTTATTAAAGAAGAGTATCCCTTTCCCCAAAAAAAGAATTACTAACTTTAGATAGTCTAGTACGGGGAAATTGCAGCCTGCGTTTGTTCCGTGTATTAACATTGTGCGTATGTTCTATTCTAGTAAACTTATCACTATTTTTGTATACATACATAATATTTTCATAAATATATTGCGAGGGAAAGGTAAGTATATTAATTTCCTTGAATTTATCTCTAAGAGATTCCCTACATTTTAAATTATAGATTGCACGAATAGCCCTCTTCTGCAGGATGAAAATAGTTTCGACATCAGCAGCATGACCCCATAATAATAAGCCATAAGTCATTAAGCTATGAAAGTAACTAAAATAAACAAGTCTAGCTGTATCGACATCAGTTAGTGAGCGAATTTTTTTAACCGCGTAGGCTGCAGAACTAAGTCTCTTCGCCAATCCGTTAATATGAGGGGACCACTGAAGTTTTGAATCCATGGTGATTCCGAGAAATACAGTTGTATCATCCAGATTCAATTCCTCACCGTTTATAATTGGTCTAGTATCCATAACCCTTGCATTTTTTGCACAAAATTTAATGCATTTTGTCTTTTTTGCATAGTCGCGAGTCTCATGACGGAAACCCTGGAAGGGAAATATCGGCGACTTCACCTCGTCGCTTTCCAAGTAGGGTTGAACGGTGGCCATGGCGCCGGTCATCTCTTTCGGAAGCTCCTTGGTGAGTTCCAATAGGAAGGATCCGCAGTTCTTGGCCGCTCCTTGTTCGGTGCCTGCGCTGTTTTCTTCCTCCGAGGATGCCAACGCTTCTGCTATTTCACGAACCTACATTAAACGCATCTTTGAGAGCAATACCAGAAAAATTGCATACATCTATTTATCGAAATGATAACTTCTTATGGGACGGTAAACCGCTTCGTTACGCAACGCGTTACGACGCCAGCGTCTAGCTGGACTTTCTCAGTGTTTAGTGTGAATTAGACATAAATTGAAATAGCACAACAATACAGCACCTTGTTTAAATATGTATTTGATATTCAAACATTATTGATGAAATAAGCATGATTGGTGCGGAACTCTTATCACAAATTGATTCAAGGTTAAAGCTGGAGGCTTTCAAACAAATTTTGCTGGTTTTATTAATAAATAACCTTTCCTTATATTAATATACATAAAATTTAAGTAATAACCTAAGTTTTTCTCAAGTTAAACAATTTCAATTCTAAATAGTCCAACTTAGATTAGTTAAAGTTATCAATCTTCTGTCAAGAGAAAATATACTAGAAGTTACATAATCCACCTATGGTAAAAGATGTGTTGGAAGTAGTCTTAGAGTTGATCCAATTCAAACTTACCTATGAATAATGAAATGCTGCTCTCCATTATCATGTTGTATAAATAGGAATATATAAACTAACCATTTGAGGAGCGAATGTTCCCAGGCCAAAGTCTTTGGTCAACTGAACCACACCTGCACACACCGGGGACACCGCATGTTCATACATTTGTAGTACCTGAACAAAAAAACATTTTTTGTATAAAAAAGATATCCTCCATTTTGTAATTTACATTATAATAACTTAAAAGAAAACCAATAAACTATAAATATAAAACAATTACCTGCACCAACTTAATAACACATGCTGTACCGTGGTTATATTTTTTAATTAAAGTTCCAAGTATTTGAAATACTGTTTCTCTTAATGTTTTGTTTTTTATTGCCTGGTCTTCTATTATCACATAGCACGGCTCCACAACCATTCTGAAATGAAGTGATAAAACCTTAGAATATTGTAGTATTGCCTTACATTATTTATTGCATATCTATTAGGATCATTAAATGTTTTTTAATATACAAAAAAAGACACCACGATCCAAGATCACCCTACATTAAATATATTACATGACATATCAAACTTACGAAACAAAATCTTGCTCGGCTAAAGGTGGGTCCCAAAGGCGTGATAATGGTTGTTGTAGAATTTGGTGCATTGAAACAAGGGCATTCATTTTGTCATGTTCTGTCCAACAACTGATTTCATCACTTTCTGTTGTTTTCTTGCCTTTCTTCCCCAGAGTCAACTTAGTTGAATTCTACAAGAACAAATATGTTTCTATTCAAAGGTATCAAGTACTGAATTAAAAAAATAAATTATGCGTGTACTAGGTGTACACACGTAAGAAGTGAAACTTCTTTATGATCTTATTTTTCGAAAAATGATCTACTATATTATGCAACTTTACAGAAATTCGTTAAATTAGATAAAGTTTAACAAAAGGCTTTTATTATCATAGACATGAATAGAAATATTTCATTTTACCTTATTACTACGAAGATTATTATAGAGTTTAATTAATTGTAATAGAATTATTACTATCATTGAAAAACGTGACGATTTGCTATAAAATTTCTCCCATACGTCGATAAAGAAGTTTCATTCCAACGCCGATAAAGAAGTTTGACTTCAAAAAGCAACATGGCGCGTAATCGAAAAATGTGACGCGTAACGAAAAAATGTTACACTAAATTTTTTTCCAACCTCGATAAAGAAGTTTCACTTCAATAAGAGAAGTGTAAAATATTTATATAAACTCAATCTTCGTAGTAATAAGGTAAAATGAAATATTTGTATTCATGTCTATGATAATAAAAGCCTTTTGTTAAACTTTATCTAATTTAACGAATTTCTGTAAAGTTGCATAATATAGTAGATCATTTTTCGAAAAATAAGATCATAAAGAAGTTTCACTTCTTACGTGTGTACACCTAGTACACGCACAATTTTTTTTTTTATTGATGTTCCTACGTTATGGGTTGCTGTTATGTGTATAAATATATGAGATTTTGATTACCTGAAAACATCTCTTTATACCTTATTTACATATACTTTGATACTTACATCAGCTGCTACTTTGGTATCCTTTGTTTTCATAATTTGAGTGAATAAATAAATTGTCATTTTAACAATATTTAGGTTTTTATTACGGACTTCACTGTCAATATCTCTTTCTTGCAGTATAGGTTCTAAGTAGCTAGATAAATTTTGAATAGTTCTCAGAATATGATCATAGCCTGGAAATACATATTTAATAAGAAAACTATTTATTTTGTCTGACGAACTAAAATAAATATGTATATATGTTTTGGTTTATAGATTACCTTTATTTATGATATTCCACTCTAGTTTTGTACCATGAGCCAATACCGAGAAGTATATATCAAAATATTCAAGAATATAATCAACACCCTCGGAATTGTAAGCTCGAGCAGCATCTACAAAAATTCGGTTAAATTATATAAAACATTTCATATAAAACAAGCATTTTACATTGAGCTTCCTATGTTACCTTGAAATTTCGATAAAAGTAGTCTTGGTGAAAGGACATCTTCAACATGATATTGTCCTGCATGACATTCTAATAACTCGTCCTTTTGCAAAGGTATACTAAACTTAAAGGTACTCATTTTTTCACGTGAGTTAAATACTACAATAAAACTATTAGACTATATATTTTTATGATTTTCTAGTTGTTAAACTTTGAACAAACTTTGTATGAATAAAATAGAGTGTGAACTGTGAACGTTTATTTTTAAATCATCTGAATTCTTTTTTTTTTTTTTTTTTGGGATTTTATGACCTGGCATGTACAACCTTTAGGTCAACTCTTAATTTTTAGACGTAATGTTACGCCTATGAGCACATTTCATTAAATTGTTTTTATTGTATTTTTTATGTAATTGTAGATGTGCTTATAAGTAAGTTCGTCTTGTAACAATTCTTTTAAAGGCGGCGGGCGGGACAATAAATCACACTTATTTTCAACATCACTAAGTTCACTGGCCAACACTAGTCTGTCGATCAAAAATTTTTGACAATCGAAGATAATGTGTTCCACAGTTCCATCACTTGAATTACAATGTGAACATGTTTTATTCGCAATCATGCCGAGTCGAGCAAGGTGTGACGGTGCAGTATTATGACCAAAACGCAGTCTATTTATGATAGTAATAAAGTCTCGAGGAGCATCTTGCATACGATGATACCAAGGTCTTACAGGTAAGTCTACTTGTATGCTTCCATACCATTTTCCTTTCGTATCTTGATCTTTCTTCCACATTTCTAACCACAAATTTTGAATATTCTGGTCAATACATTGCAAGTAATCGGACATAGGAACATTCATTGTATTTCTAACGTCAACAGCATTAATTCCTTCATATGCAGTTTTATCAGCCATTTCATTGCCAGAGATACCTTTGTGGGAAGGTACCCATAGAAAGAAAATTTGAATATTGTTATTGTGATATTGTTGAATTATTTGTTTAATGAAGTAAAGGATATAATTAGACTTGAATTTAACTGTAAGGGTAGTTAAAGCTGTTATCAAACTCAAGGAATCAGAAATTATTAAAAAATATTTAATATTATTGATTTCGCGAATACGCATTAATGCCTGATACACTGCATATGCCTCTGCTGTAAATATAGAGCAGGGTTCATGCAGAATAAAACTTGAAGAAAATTTTGCTTGTGGATCATATAGAGCAGCATGTACATAATCACTTGCTTTGCTCCCATCAGTGTAGATAACATAGTACATTGTATTTTCCTCCAAAAATTGAAGCATTTCCGAATTATTGTTTATTGTCTGTTGGACTACATTAATTGGATGTGAAATACACTGATAAGAGAAAGAGTAACATGGCCATGGACACTGTTTTCTAACTTTAGAAAAACTATTGTCTATTTCCAGAAATATATCGGACATTGTTGGAGAATTACCACATATTAGACCTTGTGCTGTTGTTAATGGTATTCTTGGGGATCTATCTATATAAGGTACAATTTTGTTTATTACTTGAGTGTTGTTTGATGCTATTAATTTGAGACAGTATCTTTCAGCAAGTAAGATTCGCCTCAAAATCAAAGGCATCACTTTTGTCTCAACTTCCATGGCCCTTATGGGAGTTGAGCACATAGCACCAGATATTATTCTTAAAGCCTTATTCTGCAATATGTCTAATTTATTTACATGAGAACTATTCATATAAGCGAGTGAGCTATAATCTAAGTGACTTCTAACAATACTTTTATACAATATTGACAATATTTTTGGGTCTGCACCCCATGTTACACCACAAAGTGATCTGATAACATTTAGTCCTCTGTGAGCATTTTTGGATATATATTTAATATGTTCTTCAAAAGTTAGTTTTGGGTCTAGTATTATTCCTAAAAATTTCTTTGAAGTGACTCTATTTATAATTTCATTATTGTAAATAATATTTGAATTTGAGGCTTCATTGCCAAAAAACATAACACTACTTTTAGATGGGTTAATTTTTAAATGTAAACGATAATTATAATATTGTAATAGTTGAAATAAGGATTTGTTCATATTATCTATTGCAATCTCTAAGTTGTAATTACTACTGTATAATACAATGTCATCAGCAAATTGTAAAATATTTACATTCCTATTATTTACATATTTACAAATATCACTTGTGTATATATTGTACAGTAATGGAGATAGTGTGGCACCCTGCATTGTACCTCTCGAGGCACATTTGGGTCCATATAGAATATTGTTATGCCTAGCATAGATTGTTCTGTTGTTCAAAAAATTAAAAATCCACTTACATAAGTGCCCGGGCACACCCAACTTAGACATGATTTGAACTAGTATACCAGGATCAACACTGTCAAAAGCACTTTGAACGTCTAGGAATACGCAAACTGTGTTTAATTTTCTATGTTTTGCATTTTGCAGGTCAGAGATTAAAGAGGTGAAACTGTCTGCACTACTACGCCCTCTACGGAAGCCAAATTGTATATGTGGAATGAAACACTTAGATTCAACATACCAATCGAGACGGACTTTCACCATATTTTCGAATATTTTACCAAGGCAGGATGACAAGGAAATTGGTCTATAAGAACTAGCAAACTCAGAACATTTGTCGGGCTTAAGTATTGGGACAACACATTGTGTTTTCCATGACTGTGGAATAGATTTATTACTCCAAAGCAAATTGAGGATGTTAAGAAACAACTTTTGGGCAGAAACATCTAAGTTTTTAATTACAATGTAAGGATAATCATCTAAGCCAGGAGTTGTATTTCGTCTAGAGTGCAAACTTGTTAAAAATTCAGACCATGAAAATGGATCCAGTAAAAATTTTGAATTTGGGTTATCATTGTTGATTTCAAAAACAATGTTCAGTTGATCTACTTCAATTAAGTTGCTATTATCTGATAATTTATCCAAGAGTGGAGATATAAACACATCTGTATATGATTTATTCTTAGGTCTTATGCCTTTGAACATTTTTAATAAATTCCAAATTTTACTTATGTGAGTATTTCTATTAAAAGTGTTACATAAGTTATTCCATCCAATTTTTTTCTGTTCTGAAATTGTTCTCTTTTTCTGGGCATCTTTTCTTTTGTAATTAATATAATTTTCAATAGTAGGTTCTTTTCTATATAGTTTTAGTGCATTATATGAAGCAATAACACTTTGTTCACATATACAATTCCACCAAGGAGATGGTGGTCTGCTTATGAAAGTGTTTGTTTTAGTGAGCTTTGGAATTGACATTTCTTTAAGAGTATCTAAATGAGAACAGAAATTATTATATGTTGAAATAGGATCATGTGATTGAAGTATCAAATCATTAAACATTGTTTTTGAAAGATCTGTGTATGTTTCCCAGTCAGCTCTTTTATATATAAACCTATCTACAGGGGAATTGAGATGATATTTATCTATATCTAATGAAATCTCTGTTATTGTTGGATAATGGTAACTTCCCATTGTATCATCATGTACAGACCATTCACATAGTGGTGCGAGGCTGCCACTAATGAAGCTTACATCAATGGCAGAAGCAGTTTGTCTAGGGCGATTTAAGGTTGTAGGTCTACCATCATTTAAAATACACAAATCTAAGTCATCAATTAAATTAAATAACTCCTGACCTCTACCTTTGGTTGACTGACAACCAAATGCAATATGATGAGCATTAAAGTCACCACTCATAAATATGGGCTTTGGTAGATCATTAATAATGTAACGGAGTCTATTAAATCGTATACGCCCACTTGAAGGTGGACAGTATATACAGAGAATTGTTAAACTACTATGTCCAGTTGAAACAGATACACCAACTGTTTGTATATCTTCATAAAATCTAGTATTTAATATATTATACTTAAGATATGGTTTTATTAGTATTGCAACTCCATTATGTGCATTGTTTGAATTTTTGTTGTAAATATTATATCCTGGTATTTTAAAATTATTATCTTTAAACCATGTCTCATTTAGAAGGCAAATATCAATATTTTGTTGTTTTAAAAATTGTATTAATAAAGGTTTTTTACTATTTGCACTTTGAATATTAAACTGAACAATACGTAGCTTGGATTGTGTAGAACTAGGCCCTACACAATCCATTATGTTAAATTTTTTAATAATGCATCTTTTATAGTTTTCATATTAGTAGGTGTACTGTCATCTTTATTGGCTAATTCCACCAACGTCTGCACTAGGGCCATAAGTACATCGTTGTTGGAAATTATTTGATTTTTAAGGTCCTTAGAAGGGACTATTTTAACTTTATTTACATCCGACTTATTTGCAGAGATATTTACAGACTTATTTACAATAACATTACTATTTACAAGTTGTGGTTTTGGTGGAGGGAGTGGAGGGAAATCTGTTTCATTGGTGGTAACTTGTTTTGGTAAGGCAACACATGCATAAGATATGTTGCTTTTCTTTTCACTAATCTTCTTTATTTTGATAGGACATAATCTAGAAATCGCAAGATGAGGCCCACTACAATTTATGCAGCTGATCTCAGTTGGTTTATCACATTGCTTATACAAGTGTTCACCTCCGCAAATACTACATCTTTGTTTCCCATTACAAATCTTAGCTGAATGATTAAATTTAAAACACCTATAGCACTGTAGTAAAGGTGGAATGTATTCGAAAACTCTGTACGAGAATAGATCGTATTGTACATTATTAGGCAGTACATTAGATAAGAAAGTGATGCTTACAGTTTGCAATGCAATGCGCTCTTGTCCTACCTTCTTTGAAAACCTTCTTATTGCCACTATTTCATAAATTGAAGTTAGTCTAGAATAAAGTTCTTTGTTAGAGATATTCGCTGGAACAAATCTAATGATGCCGGTTTTTTCAATTTGCGCTGCCGGTATGAACGCCTTCATGTCATATTTTGTCAGGAAAGTGGTATTATTAATAAAATTATTGGCAGTATTATACTGCTTGAATATTACTGCTATTTTATTGGCATTCACCCTCTGAATACCCGTCACACCTTTTATGTCCATTGCGAAAATATGATTTAAATATATAGGGCTCTTGTTGCCCAATCTATCGTCGTTTGTGGATTCCACATACACTTTAAAGTCTGTGTTGGTTGAGTTTTCCGGATAAAGTCTTTTATAGTTCGGTTTGTAATAAGGCAGATACGCATCTCGCTCATCGCCGCAGTCCGATCGTCCAGAGCCTACGCCTCCTCCTTCATCCGTAGGCCTTGGCCGTTTTATTGAGGCGGGCGGGTGAGACCCGCCCCCCTCGTTTACCTACATCGCTATTGTGCTTTTCAGCAGCTAATAGCAATATTTCAATTCACTTTAACTATAAAAAAATCACTATTTATAGAAAAAAATTAAACTTAAAGTTTAAAGTCAACCGCGCTTTTTCAAGGTTCCCGCCAGCTTCCATCTGAATTCTCAGTAGCCAGTACAGATCACAGATCAAGTAGAAGTACATATATACACATTTCACAGCTTTGGTAATGGCACAGAGCATACAAATCAAGACTCTCTGTGCGTTTTCCAATTACAGAGCATTATGCGACTCAGTGCCGCACAATGCCGCATAATGCTGAAGCTTAATTGGAACGTGAATTAGTTTTCAAATGCATCAGCAGAGTGCGCTAAGTCAGTTTTGTAAAAAAAATGTTATGAATTGAGTTAGCAACCTCATTAATGTATAAATAATGTGGTAAACAATAATAATTGGTTCAAAACTTTTTACGCTTATTTTAATCATCAAATTATTTCATTAACATTTTTTTATTGAAATAATAGAAAACCTTTAAAGAATATAAGGTTTTAACAAGCTAAATTAACAGTAAAATATTTAGTTTCATGTAAGAAGTTTACATCATTTACGTTTTGAGTAATATTTTTTAATGATTTCTAAAAAAATTTAATATACTTTTTCAAAACCATTGCAATTTTTTCTAAACTATAATCCTGTAAAATAAATTTGTTTACAGATCCGAATTTTAAAATAAAATTGTATTCATATTTTAAATGTGGAATATAAAAAAAGTAACTATTTATACCTCCATCCATACTAATATTTATTTTTTTTAGCAGTTTGAAATAACTTTAATTATTTTCAAAATCTACGATGAAACGAAAGCCTTACAAATTTTTCAACAATAAATAATATTTACTAACGAAAATTTCAATAAATGCCAACTTAAAGAAAAATACTGGTCAATTTTCTGTCACTGTGTTGGTATTGTTTGCGAGAAGCACGCGAGAGCATTCGTTTTGAGAGTGCTCAATTGTGCGAAGCGTTGCTGTAGTTGGAACACTCAACGTTGAGCATTATGCCGCATAATGCGCTCTAGTGCTGTAATTGGAAAACGCTATCTGATGGTGAAACGCTTGGGTGTACTTATATGGATGTGCGTTTTCCAATTACAGAGCATTATGCGACTCAGTGCCGCACAATGCCGCATAATGCTGAAGCTTAATTGGAACGTGAATTAGTTTCAAATGCATCAGCAGAGTGCGCTAAGTCAGTGTTGAAAAAAATAAATGTTCTGAATAGAGTTAGCAACCTCATTAATGTATAAATAATGTGGTTAATAATAATAATTGGTTGAAAACTTTTTACGCTTATTTTAATAATCAAATTATTTCATTAACATTTTTTTACTGAAATAAGAGAAAACCTTTAAAGAATATAAGGTTTTAACAAGCTAAATTAACAGTAAAATATATGTTTCATGTAAGAAGTTTACATCATTTACGTTTTGAGTAATTTTTTTTAAATTGATTTCTAAAAAAATTTATTATTTTTTTTAAAACCATTGCAATGTTTACAAAAGTATAATCCTGTAAAATAAATTTGTTTACAGATCCGATTTTTAAATAAAATTGTATTCTTATTTTAAATGTGGAATATAAAAAAAGTAACTATTTATACCTTCATCCATACTTAAATTTTTTTTTTTTAGCAGTTTGAAATAACTTTAATTATTTTCAAAATCTACGACGAAACGAAAAAAAAATAAAAAAAATATGCCACCTTAAAGAAAAACACTGGTCAATTTTCTGTCACTGTGTTGGTATTTATTGCGAGAAGCACGCGAGAGCATTTGTTTTGAGAGTGCTCAATTGTGCGAAGCGTTGCTGTAGTTGGAACATTCAACGTTGAGCATTATGCCGCATAATGCGCTCTAGTGCTGTAATTGGAAAACGCACACAGTATATGATATAACGCGTTAGAAGTTATACTTTTTTAGCGTAACAAGATAAAAATATTTTCAAAAATTTTATTTTTCGCCTTATTCTACGTTTGTAGAAAAAACGACAGTAACAATAGAAAAAAAAATACACTCATAATTTTTCCTTAACGCGCCTAAAGAAGTATAACATCAAATAAACTAAAACTACAGATAACTTTGGGGTGTCGGTTTTTTGTGACGGTGTGCGCGCGTATCGTAAAAATTTACTCTCGTAATTTTTCCCTAACGCGCCAAAAGAAGAATAACTCCAAAAATAAGTATTGGCAGTAGGGCTGTGAAGGTAAATGAATAATGGAGTAAAGTAAAAAGTAAACTGGACCAAACCAACAACAGATAACATTAGAAGGAAAAGGAGAAGGCAAGCCAAAGGCTTACCCAAGACGGGATTTACACTATAAACTATTAATGAAACTTAATATTATTAATTCTTAGTGTTTCTAATACTACTAGCTCATACAGAGTTAAACAATAAATATAATCCATTGTAAATCTTGAAGTGAATAAAAAGCTTATTATTATCACGTTTATTCTAAAATCTAGGAGTACTGTGCATTACAATCTTGTTCTTATTAGTTATTGATTAACTGAGACTTTACCAGACCATAAAAACTTCAAAAAAAAATCCCTGGCCCGCCCATATGCAAGATATGCAAAAGGCGTAGATAGAGTATAGAACTAGATGAGCTTCTAAAATAACAATAAAATCCAAAAATCCAAAAATCATTTATTCACGTAGGTAACACAATGTACACTTGTGATTCGTCATTAAAGAAATACATATTAATGCTTCTAATTTTACATTTACTGCCAGTTCTCAAATCAAGGGCGTAGAACCGAAGAGAAGAACTGGCAATAAACTCTCCGCCACTCTTTTTAATCGCCATGTTTTTTTTACACAACGTTTGTAAGGAGCTGCAACCATTACACCATGTTCCACATGACATCTTAAGTAATTAATAATAATAACATAAATTAAAACCAAAACCTCTATCAGCAGGAGGCATAGTGAAATAGGAGCAAGCACTTACATTCTCGTGGGAACAACATGCAAACACATAGTCGAAATAATTAACATCACCGCATACACGAATTCAAGTACGACCAGTCACCACAAGTAGCACCCGTTCACGAGTATGACGCATGGCCAGCCATCGGCCCCCTCGCCATATTTTAGGGAGAGAGACAACCCGACGCATGGACGCCGCCACAAGCAATGACATTTAAGCGAGCATGACGATCCTTGAAATGTGGACTTGGCTACATAAGAAAATAATAATAATACTGAAATAATTTGATACCACATGGATCACGGTTTGTTCCCACTTTACATTAATACAGTTAATAACTAAAGAGAGAAGGCATTAACGTGAAATACTTAAGTGCGAGCAAAACAGAGTATCAGTTTTTCTGTCTCTATTTGCGTATCGGGTTTTATTTGTTTACCGAGCCCTTGGTGGTAAACAAGTTTTCACCGCTTATTGATAAATCTGTGAAACCCAAGTCAAACCCATATTTTAATACGTCTTTATCCTTATAAGAGGTGTATTTAAAGTGTCAGTCATGGTGAATTGTTGCATAATTGGCTGTAAAAGCTATAGTGAACGTAAAGAACCAAACATAACCTTTCATCGGTAAGTAGCTTATTTTGTCACGACTCAGTAACTTTGTTCAAGAATTATTCATTCGAATGTGTATTTTGGTCTATAATAATAAGCAATCTTCAATTAATTAAAACTGTAAATACGACATATGTCAATCATTCGCTATCTCACACGCTGTACGCTGATGCCTGGTCTATACCATAGTCCGTCTACGGCAAAAGGCAACTTATAGTCTGATAATTGATACTTCCTTGATCCTTTACTTATAAGCACATCTACAATTACATAAAAAATACAATTAAAACAATTTAATGGAATGTGCTCATAGACGTAATGTTACGTCTATGAGCACATTCCATTAAATGAAAATTAAGAGTTGACCTAAAGGTTGTAAATGCCGTCATAAAATCCCAAAAAAAAAAAAAACATTCCTTGATCCTTCACTCATTGTTGTTGCCTGTCAAGTGTCAAGACTTGTATTTTCAATTTTGTAAATTACGTTGGTTATTGGTACTTGTTTGAGAATTATTGATACATACGACAAAATTTTATTAAAAAAATCATATCCTAAATAATTTGTTAAAGCTTGGAATTTCGATTGCGTTTTAACAGTGAATTCTTATTTACCATCTGTCTCGTAAATTGCACAACATTTAGCCCTAAGGCGACAGTATACCTTGTAAGTTCTATGTATTTATAGTTGTAAATTTATCAAAGTATAATTTGTCAAACAGCCATTCAGGCTTATTTTCGCTCTCTCGAATGGAATTTTCAATTTCATATGCCTACACAATTGATTTCTAAACACATTTAAGTGTCTTTGACTATAGCTACATAATACAACGCTAAATATTGAAAAAGGGCACTTTTTAGGATTAGCTGTAGTATAGATTCAGGCCACAATATGTTAAGAATCTTCTAAAAATTTCATTTTAGATATTGTAAAGATTACGTAAATTTATTATTACGGAAATTCCAGACAAAAAGATATTGTCAATATGTGAAAATATTATAATTAAACATTTAAACTTGATGTTAAATATTTTCTATATACAGATTAACATGCTGAGATTTCGTAATAAGATGGGAACAGAGCATAGCAAAGAATGGCGTTGTTTAATGTGTTTACATGTTCGCACTGGAACTATGCTCCTTGGTTCATGGCATTTGGTAAGTAAAAGCAATTGTACACAATGTGTCTATAAAGACTTCTTAAGCATGTTAAATGTTGTCTTTTTGACAGGTACTGCATTTACTAGCTTTAGGATTTTTGGCTGCTGTGGTGAGGGACCCAGCATTAATACAAGATTTTGAACAGGAGCAGGAATCTTTTGTTGACTGGCGTGACGTAGGATCTCCTTTACCTACTGCATTACCCAACATTGAATCACCATCCAGCGCTTATTCTCAATATGCAATTAAGTCAAAGGAGCGTAGTTTCATTTACCGTAAGATATTTAAAAGATATTGTGACTTTGTCATCTAAACATATTTAATGTAAAAATTAATATCTACCGCCTTTATCAGACGATATAGATGTAGGTGCTCTCGTGACCGTGTGCACTCTGGCCATCACACTGATGCTGATCTATGGAGCTGCTCGGGGGAAACCTGCGCACATCCTGCCTTTCTTCTGTCTGCAGATTTTTGACTTTGTTATCACAGTGTAAGCATAGAAGAATCACTTTCACGATTTTAAACTCTGACCGACCGAGCGATGTCTGATCGCGTGCCTTCCTGCGACAGGTTGACGGGCATGGGGTACCTCTGCTATGTGCGCTCCGTCGACCAGCTCGTGCGCGAGGCCCGCCGCGTGCCCTGGCGCGCCCAACTGCTGTCCCTGCCCGTGCCGGCCTTGGCGTTCGTCATTCTGTGCTCGTTCCTCATCGCCATCTTCATCAAGGTGAGTAACCGTAGGTGACGTCACCCCTCCTCGCTCGTTCGTGGACTCGGAATAAAAATTGGAAATTTGAATCAGGCGTACTTCATCAACATGGTGTGGCGCTGCTATAAGTACCTGACGATGCGCTCGCACGCCCTGAGCGGCCTGACCCCCTTCGTGATCTCCGGCGAGGGGTTGGCGAGCCCCTCGGGCCCCGCTCCCGCTCCGCTATACTCGAGCCTGCTGCCCGACTACGACGAGGCCGTCAAGCAGACGCCGCCGCCCTCGTACCGCGCCGCCACGCTCATGGCGCAGGTCGACGCGCCTCGGGCCCTTCCGACCCCTCCGGCCTCCGACACCGTCGTGGTGCTGCCGCAGGCGGGGACGCACGCCCCGGTCTAAGCGCTCTCTCTCGTCTTACAAAAATAGAGCTATTTATTCGTATCTAAAGCGTTCTAAATGTGTCGTCCGTTATAGACGGTGGTTCGGAGACAACATTCATATTAAGGGTATACATTAATATTATTCTAATTTTTCAACGCGTTCCCCTTATTTTCGTACAATTGTTTTAATATAACTTTCTGTTATTGTTTTTAAAGTTTAATATGTTTGTCCCGTTTATGTCTTTTTTCTGTACTTATTTTTCAAATAATAATTCAAAATGTTATTACTCGTTTTACTATTATTTTGGATCCGAGTGACACTTTGGTGGATTTACTTAATATTTATAACTTAAAAAGCCAAAACACTTTTTTATCTAATTTCCAACAATCCACCTAGTCATTTTAAAAAGAGATACCTTTATATATAACTATGATATATATCAAGAATCTAGTTGGTGCATTATGTTTATAAAAGATACGATATTAAATAAATTTATTTGCTTTATCATGAAAAGAATATTTTGAAAGCCGCTTATTAAAAGTATTTCAAAGCGTAGAAAAACATTTCCATATATTATATTCCTATCCAATTAATAGTATTAACAATGTACCCAGACAATTTAGATTTAATTTTGCATTTTGAGTACGATCGCGATAGTATTTTATTCCGCCTTTGATATGAATTATACCTTTTAGGTAATCTCAAGTTGGTTTTCTCGAAAGGCTATAATACAATTTTATTACATCAAGCTACGGACGGAAATGTTTTTCCTTAACTTCGTCATAGGTATGTACCAACCTATTGTATCAATTGTATAATATTTTGTTAATCCTAGTCGCGAGTAGTTTCATAACGGCCTATGATCACGAGCCTCTCTAATCTAAATCATTAAACGCAAAATATATTTCTGTTGTTTACTTTGGGCAAATTCACTTCTTTTAATCGAAAGTTCGATTATGTTTGTTGTAATTGTAGAATAAATATTTATGCTAAGGCAAATTATTAATGTGTGTACATTGTAAGTGATGGAATCAAATAAATCACTGTTAACAATGATTTTTTATTGTTTCTTTTATAGTTTTTAATAAATAATGGTATATATCTAATAAATGTTTCAATATATTTTGGTCATCAGAACTAACACGAAGGCTTGCAGAAATGCACAAAAAATAGTGTAGAGTACTCTAAACTTATTTGGCTCCGTAAACATGTACTAGAAGTGAAAAACAAGTTTAGTGTCTTAAATTCCTAACGACGACCACGACAGCGTTAACCGTCGAAACACATTCCCAAGTGATTTTATCTATATTCTGTATCCAGCTGTTGATGCATTCCTATGTAAAATTATGTATAACTGCAAACGGTTCAGAATATAAAAAGGTCAAAGTGACGAAAGTTCATAATTTACAAACAATAGTCGGACATGCGCGCCTGCCGTTCGCTGTCGCCTTTTCACGCGGCTCTATTTATATCGACGGCTCACCCTCCGCGTCGCTTTGCACTCACGCAAGCGCATTGTGCACCTGAAACGCAGAAAGTGAAAATCGCACATCACGGTCACGTTAGGGGCAGGGCGCAGTATTGCATTAGTGTAGTGGTTGCGCTAATTAGTGGCTCGCGGGTCGAAACGGTCGCGCCATCAGCGGCTCACGAGAATGGCCGATGCCTCATCGGCAGCGGTCTCCATCACTGCGCTAAACCTTGACGCGTCAGCCGTTTCGCCGGCTAGAGATTCGAGGACGTGACATCCCTCGATCGACCGTGAGCTGCCGGCGCGATGGCTTCGACGATGCAACTCGAATTCACCCAGGCGATGACGGATTTTAAAACCATGTTCCCCGATATGGACGATGATGTGATCGAGGCGGTGCTTCGAGCCAACCAGGGTGCCGTCGACGCGACCATCGATCAGCTGCTGGCCATGAGTACCGATAACCAGAACGAGCGGTTGCGCCTCGAGATAGAGCGCGTGGAGAGCAGCTCTCCCTCTCGTCGCAGAGATCGGCGAACCAATCGACCGCTCGAGAACGGCGAAGACAACGACACTACAGCTCTTGTGTAAGTTTCATTTTGCATTTGTTTACCGTTTTTGACACTGGAGCGAGGTGATCATTCCTACAATCGCTTGTTCAATATGAGATCTTTTTAGTTCTTTAGAAGCGTGAACCGAGTAGCTAGCCTTGTAAGCTTGAGGTCGTTCGAACCCCCTCGTTTTTCTAAATACGTGCAGTATCTACTCATTTCCACTGAAACTGAGACGTTTTTTTTGAATTCATAATCCTTCATCATAGGTACATATACTATTTTGGCCCCACGCCCCTTTATTTAATGTAGGTAATTATTACCTCAATCACTCCTGTAGCGACGCGTATATCCTAAATAAGTGCTTGCAGTGACGTAGAAGATGAATCTGTGCCACTGGCTGTGCGAAAGAAGTGGGTTCCACGAATGCTAGGGCCTTTACCGCCCATGTTCCTGCGAATTCCTCCAAACACCGACGCAAGAATAGATTTAAATCTGGAAATGGATGACGACCGCATCGCCACATTCTTGCAAAATGAGGAATTCATGGCTGAATTGCGTTGGAACCAAGAGTTCATCGCAGCGTTGGATAGCGATCAGGGGAATAAAACAAAATGCCATGATGACGACGCCGCATTTAAAGAAAGACTGAAGAATATGGGCAAGTGTAAGTGATAAACGATTATCATACAATTATTCACAAACGTCGATAGATCTTGTAGATATTTCCACCTAGACGCTCGCGCTACCGGCGCCGGTCACACCATTCTAAATACAACCTTTGCTAACTACAATGCGATGCAATTTAATTGTTTCGATTCATACATTTCAAACCATTTTTTGATTCGACGTTAAGAATTTAATCAAATGTTTGCTTTTTATAATAAGTTACGTAAAACGTTTTTTTTACAGTGTCAAGGAAGAAATTTGCGCAATTATCGCGAATGTTCAGCCGTGGAGGGTCACGACGAAGCGGAAGCGCCAGGGCTCCGCCCCGTGGCCCGCCAGACAGTCTGTTATTACAAGAGGAGCACAGTGACGATGACGACAAATCGCACACTCAAAACGTTAAAATATAATCATTCCACGCTACGTCATATCGCGCTTCAAACAAGACTTACTAGACCAGGAGGGCCTTATTTCAGAGCTGCACAAGCGTTCGCATTACAAGACTGGGGATAGATAGATAAGGTTGCATTTGTTATTGTTGCTTTGATGAGGACGGATTATTTAACATTTGTGGAGATGCCGCCATACTTTATTTATATGAATTTACTGTCCTAGACTTGAGTTAGAGGTTAGGTCATTTGTTTGATTAGAACGTCGATTAATATCCTAAATAGACTCTGACTACACTTAGACCGATTACATTTCATTACCCTTCTACATTGCTGATTAGGTCTGTTACTTTGTTTGTCATTTGCCTCAAAATTTGTGTATATGTAAATGTGAGGTGCGTTTAATTAATTCGTAAGATCTCGTGATGTTATAAAAGTTTTCCTCTTTAAAATTAATAATATAAACATCTTTTAATATCTTTTTTTTATTGAAAATAGACTGCTTTTACAAATCTGTATTTATACATTATTGGAGTACAAACATTTTATAAGTTCCAAATTTAATGGGCCTTTAAATCTAATGTTTAGTCACCAGGTTATTTTTATAATGTTAGTACACGCTGACCCTTGCATAAAGCCTAAATAATGGGTGGCGCAATAGAACGTGCATTTTTTAAGTATGGGTTAAAAAATAAATACAAAAGGTATAGTTGAAATAAAATATAGGATGATTAGGTAGTTAACTGTAGTTTATTTTTTAAAAATAACATCATCTAAATGACGGCCCTCTCGAAGACGGCACTACTCTAAACGCGAACGCAGATTTGTGAAAACCCTTGTCAATAAATCTGGGGTGATAGCTGCCATTTCTCCGGATATTGTCCTTTACCTGACTGATGTTCTTCGGATTGTTCATGTAGACTTTATGTTTGAGGTATCCCCATAAAAAAAGTCAGGAGGCGTCAAGTCAGGGCTACGTGGGGGCCAAGGGATATCACCTCTTTTGGAAATTAGTCTTGCAGGAAACATCTGTCTCACAACCGCCATAGAGTCATTTGATGTGTGACAGGTCGCTCTGTCTTGTTGGAACCAAGTCCTCGTCTTCACTATTTTTAATCTCGCAAGTTCTGGAGTCAAATATCCCTCTAACATCGCGTCATAGCGGTCGGTGTTAACGGTGACGTTTCGTCCTCGTGAATCTTCAAAGAAGAAAGGGCCAGTAATTCTTTTGCTTGATATTGCTGCCCATACCGTTACTTTCGGACTATGCAGTGATGTTTGATGTTTCATTTTTGGATTCTCGGCGTTCCAATGGCGACAATTTTGTTGGTTTACGAACCCATTTAAATGAAAATAAGCCTCGTCAGAAAAAAGGAAGTTGTCAAAATTGGAAAATCGACTAAGCATTTCTTCAGCAAATGCCAACCTTGCTCCGAAGTCGGTATCTTTTAATTCATGTATTAACTGGAGCTTATAAGGATGGAGTTTAAGATCCAACTTCAAAATTCGCTGTAAACTTCGTCGCGACAACTTTAAAGCCGCCGATCGCTTCCGAGTAGACAGTTGCGGCTTTTTTCCAACTGACTTCTTCACCCTCTCAATGTTGTCTGTGGTCCTAGACGTTCATGGACGAGCTTTCGATGGTGGTTTAAACGTGGAACCGGTCTCATCAAAACGCTTTATCCATATTTTAATTAAATTTGCACTCGGAGCTTCATTAATATGTGTTAATCCATATTCAGAACAATACATTAGCCTTGTAGAGATGTATGCACGACCGTTCTCGTAAAACGTGCGAACACCAAAAGCGCGACGCTTCCCGTCGAAGTGACTCATGGTTACTAAAACTCCATGAGTTCCTCTATCCAACCACCCTAGGCACCCAGCTCGCGCACTGTTTACCCCGCGAAAAAAGATGACGAAATATGCACGTTCTATTGCGCCAACCTGTAGTTTCTAATAATCTCACAAATGGTAGAAAATAAGGTTAAAATAAATAACCTAACAAATTTACCATTCTCGGATCAGACATAGTGTCAGTTCAGTCAGTATGTTTGATTCTTGACAACAATTAGGCTTCCTTATTAATGACGTGTCATAATTGATGCTCCTGAACATGCTGCCCATCTGCATGATCTGGATCTGTATCCGTTAAATGGTTTTACGTACTTGCCCGTAATATTTGAAAATTACTTTGCAATTATAACACCGAATCAGATAAGGCTTAAATTAAAATGATTCGTGCATGTCATTGTCCAATACTTACAGATAATAATACGTTACAAAAATGGTTTGGATTTGTAATAACATGAAGCCTATCACGTAAAACCAGTAGTGTTATTAAAACTTGAATGACTTTTTAGCACTCTGTAGACTGAATACCATACTTGTATTCTCATGCTACTTATTATAATTGCGTTCCATCAATCCAAAAAAGGAGTTAATGAATATTGTACGATGGTTGATTTTCTTCTATCGTTCCCACCTACGATAGAAGAAAATCAATGGATGAATTATTCCGTGGCTTGCCGATTGCAAAAGCTTTCCATCTTGTCATGTCGTGAACTACGAGTATAGGGCAAGACGCTGACGACGTCATATATTCCAAGAAATGAAGCGTGACAACGACGAGAGCGCAGTAAACACTACAATGAAAGGCAATGAAGCATAACGCGAAAGTGGCATTGCCTCTACAAAACTCCAACTGCCTGTAGTTTTTCTTACGCATCGCCCGCGTTTCATATAGTGTGATCATTAGTGCTAAAACCACGCACACGAACCAACGAATCTAATAGAACTTTTATTTTATTTCAGGTAGGTTGTAATCTCGACAACCTTACCGGGGCTTGATGATTTTTCGTTCCATGGGAATTCGATCTTTACCTCATATTTAAATGATCATAGTTTATTTTTGTTAATATTCTCCGGTACCCGCCCACTAATTATAGCAGATTTTGTTTTACGTCTTATTTGCAGTCAAGCTTGTGTTACAATATGAAACCGGTGCGGCGTCTGGCACGTGCATCCGACACGCATCACGAGCCAAAGTCATCCAGTGCGCCCTCGCTCTTCGCGGCATCTGTACGCATGGAGACAACTCTCGCGAAAGCCTTAACATAACATGAAAACAATCAACCTATTAGTGTTGTGACAATCGTTTTGCTTCTCAAGTAAACTTTTCGTGAGTAACTCTTTATGTTGTATGCACATAAGAACTTATATTAAAAGCTTCAACGCATTGCATATTTTAATTATTGTATATATTTTTCCACTTTGTTTTGCGCATTTTATCATTAATTAGTCTATTCAAAATATTATATTTGGAAACTAGATTATCCGAATATGAAAGATTATTACGGTCTGATTTTATACAATGTCCGAATGAGTGCACTCTTTTAGATTGCTTAATCTAGATCGTGGGTTTGATTCGTAAAATAAAGGCATTTCTAAGTATCGGTTAAAACTATGTTAACACCAATATAGTCTTTCGATCTAAAGACTAGGTCATAGAAAAGTTATATGTGAATTAAATAAACTTTCGCAAAAATACGACAATGTGTATATTAAACACACCTTGAAACCAGAGTTAAGAATCTCTATCTATCTATATATATAACGCTTATTTCAACATGATTTATATCATGATTTGAACTAAATAACACTTGTAGGTATCTAAAAGAGAGTTCATTGATCTTAATGGAATATACCAATTAATTCACTTTATTCGTTAATAAATGTATCGTTTTAAACAATACTTTTATTATTAAGGCATAATATGAGATCATAAATGGCACCGTATCGGTTACATGGCCAAAGTGAAATTTAAATTGTCATAATGTCTCTGTAACAGACCGTTAAATACGAAATGCTTTTTACCGTGAACTAACATTAATGTAATTTTTTTTTAATTTGTTGAAGTATGTTTCGAAAACTCAGAAGCGACGCGCGGTCGATTACCTAAAGGAGTACGGATTCTGTATCACAAGTTTAATAGAAAGTTATAAAATAATAAACTGTAAGCAGATGTAGGTATTTTTTTGTGTTCACCTCAAGGGCGTCGCCAGTCGATTGTCGCGGGCTGCAGAAGGGCAATAGAAGTAGGTAAAGGTATGAGTTGTGCAAAGCAAGTGAAAACTCGCAGCTCCTCTTACCTGCCCTGACGACGCCCTTAACTTAAAAGATCTTTATGTTTGCATTATTTTCCTAGTAATGGAAATGTCCGTGCGAGATCTCAAACTCATGAGCCAGTATAGTTGACGACGTCATAAACTTTAAGATATACGGCTGGAGCATGTCTTCTGAAGCTGGACACGCATTTAAACCTCTATTATTATGGTCACCGAAAGCATTTTACGCTTCTTTTGTTACAGACCATAAAAGTCTCTTACACAGTTATTTACATCTACAAAAATAAATTTCCTTTATTATGGCCTAGGCCCTAGGCGAATATTAATAAATAATATTAGAGCTTGTACCTAACGCTATTTATTAATTTAACTATTTATAGTAACAGTTGCGATTGACGAAGTAGATCAACATAACTCTTCGTCACGACCTCTGAATGGCACAAAACAAAAACAGTGAATCGTATGATGATGGTAAATCTGCCTCAGGTTCAACAAATTGGATAATTTTTCGAATAGCATGTGACGCGGTAGCAGCGTGAGTTTGGAGTCTACACAATCAAATCGGCCGAGTTTCACCCGGAGTATTCAAGCTGTTACTTTTATAACGCGCGGCCGCACATGACAACGCTCTGTTTCCCTAAGTCTCATTGTCACATATACCACGTAATGGAATTCTTTAACTTTCGCGCCACGCAAATATCACCTTAACACACCTTAAGGAGAGAGAGAAATCGATATTCAGTATAACAGTATTAAACAATAATAATAATGGCCCTTGAAACTAACTTTTACTATTTTTTGTTGCTCAAGTAATAGTCGGACATTAATATCCACAAGGACTATAATGTACTTTAAAAATATCAAAAGATAATTCTGATAATATACAAATACAATATCCAATGTAAAGATATAATGGCGTGCCAACCGCAGATTGCGATAAACTTAAAATACGCTTATAAGGAAGTTTCTTATTCGGGCGAAAGATTTGGCAGAGATCGTGACTTCAAGTTTATATTACGAATAAAAGTAGAGGACACACGATCGACGGAGAGTATAAGCTAACGGAAGAACACCATTGCACACTGCAACGGTTATAGTTCATGCTATTGTGCGAATAAACTACCGAATCTCTCTTCTCCAGACTAGATAATTTCCTAAGCTAATGGTAATAACACGGTTTTGCACTAAGCAACGAGGTGGAGGTGGCGACCTAGTATCGGATAAGATAGTAAAAGTAACTATTCTTGTTCTTTCTTCATAAAAAAGGAGATTTACCTTATATTTAGTTTGCTTATCTGACAAATGAAAACAATAGGCCCTCTGTTGGGATCGCGATCAATTTATCAGCGACCGCGATTCTACTTTCGTTGATTGTTCAAGTTTAGGCCTCTTCTCTTTGAGACGACCGCTTGTAAACGAAAATAAGATTTTAAATTGATTTTACAAATAAATTGAATTCAGAAATATCTGACGTTATGAAAAAACGTGTTTGTTTACAACTAATTTACATAAATCAGTTGTAAAAACCATCTTCCTTTCTTAGAGTACACAAAAGCAGAATATTTAATCTCGTTAGACTAATATTTATTCATGTATTCCTTAACGTACGTTTCTCCATTATTGAACTAACCTGAGCCGAATCGACGTTATTCGTCGACATTGTTTGGATTGTAGTTTAAAAAATGTGATTTCTTAAAATATTGTTTGCCCCAACAAAATAATATAAATTAAAGTCCGTTTACATACTGGTAGACACAAAAAACGAGGCTACATTAAGAATATTGTTGGAACATGCGACATAATTCAATTCCTATAGTGCTACTTTTTCACTTTTTGCAATCCTGTCGTAAGTATTTTATTTTCTCACGTATGCGCATTCGCGACGTTAAAAAGAAGTTTACTGGAAACTGGTAGGTCGTTACCAGGCGCAACTGAGTTACTGACCATCGAACTGGCCCTTAGGGATGAGAATTAATACGTTCGTTGCCCTGTCTGTGTTGCGGACATTGGACAGTTCATGCCACGTCCGGTGCCTGCTTATTTACAACTAGACTTGAGAAGCAAATTATAATTATGAATACTTACTATTTTATAGTGTCATTATCTGTTTTACTCGATTTTTATAAATCTAAAGATGAGAGATTCCCTTTTTAAAGTATTTTTAGATACTATTTTTACAACTACTTTGGTTATATTTGCAGCATGACATGAAGATAAATAATATGTGTTCTTTCAAAGAAATTTTCTCGACGGCATTTTTTTTAAATATCAGGTATTGCAATAATGCAGGTTATTCCTTTAGCCGTTGTTATTTGTACGAGTAATAATTAAACAAAACCGTCACTATTCAATTTCTGCTAATAATATTAACGTTACAGGCCATACTACTATTTTGAAGTGTAGAAGATGAATGGAATAAGTAGATATAAATATGCATAGGTAATAACTGGGCGATGGCTGCTTAGAATCTGGAATTTGTGTTTTTCGTCTAGGCCAATGCTACGCAAAAATGAACAAAGTTATAATGCCTGGAAACCCCGGGCGAAAACCAAACCGGTTTATGAGGAGGTCAGAGGCGTTTCGATAGAAATTAATTTATATTACATATATAACAAGAATTTTTTTTATTTTCAGCGGCGACAATTGAAGCCAGATGTCTGTACTGCGAGAATTGGGTAGCTGAGGGCCGGCGTGGCCTTATGGAGGGACTGGCGCTACCTACACTGCTTGTTATAGCGGTGCTACAACTAGCCGTCACTGACTCAGCTCGGTTTGGTGACCGCCTCGCCCCTAGGAAACCCGCGCCTTACTCACCTCGCAATGCAAATCCAGGACAAACTTTTGCACAAAACGATGAAGCCACTTACGAACAGGACTTTGATAAGCACATCCTAGCTTTTGAATATGACGAGCCCAAACTGGAAACGGAAGCTCCCCATCGACGTCCCGCTCGGACGGAAGCGCATCGCTTGGAAATGAGTACAGAATACTTCGTAATACCGGAAAAGATGTCGACGCCATCTTCAACTTCAGTTCCTCAACGCCCAAAAGTTATTGCTACAGCACGGCCGAACAATATGACCATGCCGGCAATAAAGGTCGCAACTTTGACGGCTTTAAGACTCGAACCGTGGGCTGTTCCAATTTTAGCGTTAGCGAGCGTCATCATGATAATTATTTGCGGCTTCGAGGCTTTCGTTATTTGGGGGGCCAGTCGCAGAGCACCGAGCCACAGACATTTGCTCTTAGGACAGACGCTGCTCTTCGGGCTTTTTCTATGCGCTGGCACCGCAGCCTTGTATGTCGCATCGCCCACGACCTTCACTTGCGGGGCTGTACGTTTTGCGACCGGAGTAGCATACGTGATCGTGTTCGTGACATTATTAGTGAAATGTGTATTTCTGTTAAGTCTAAACGGTGGCGTATACCTCCCCGCCGCTTATCAAGGACTTTTGTTATTTTTTGCGATCATGATACAGGTCGCCATCGGGGCGCAGTGGCTAGGCGGATCGCCGCCGCGAGTGGCACCGAGTGGGACGAGGTGCCAGACGGCGTTGTCCGATCTGTTACTATCTTTGTGTTACGCTGCATTTCTAATAACCGTGGTGTGCGGGGTTGCACTTCGATCGCGTGGCATACGGGACAACTATCGCGAAGCCACGCATATTGCAGCCGCGAGTGGCGCTACGGCTGCAGTGTGGGTGTGCTGGGTTGCGGCGGCCCTCGGGGCTCCCGATCAGCACAAAGACGCGTGCGTGGCGGCCGGACTACTGGCTACGTGCGCCGTAGTGTTCGCTCTTATGTTCGCTCCGAAAGGTCGCCGCTTGGCCGCCCTGGGCCGAGAGGGCCGCTGGGAAGCCGATCGCGAGGAAGGCCTCAGCTCCCTGGGCGCGGGTGGTTCCGGTTATTCGCCTTCGTTCTTTCACTTCAAGCCGGTTAAGTACGGCATGGTTTCGGCGGCGGCGCCGGCGATGGCTTCATCGATCTCGGATCGCAAGGAGCCCACAGCTCAGCAAGCCGGTTAGTTAAGTATCGACGCTAACGCGCGCTACTGAAGTGAGGATTAGCGCTTTCGCACACCTAATGGCCACGCCGGGTTGTTCGCAGATCCGTTCGGCATCTTCGTGGCCTCGCACCAACACAGACGCACCGCGTGCGCCCCGCACTATCCCATGCACCTTCTAACGCACTATAACTACAATCAATACCCACCCTATCACTACATGTTACCACCAGGTAATACTGCAATTTATAACTCCTATTCAAATAATCGTGGTTGTGGTCGTGAGTAGCATGTTACACTTTTTGCAACAAATGTAAATAATAATTATTGAATTCAAGATGATTTCGTCTATCGGTCTATTCCTTTGCTGCCTAACGCGGATTTCCCTTTACAGGCGTGATGATGCGCGCAGAAGAGGCCAACGTGTACACGAGCGTGGAGCCGACCTTCAGCAGCAATCCCAACGTGTTCTTCCAACGCACGGACCCTTTGCACGTCGGCATGATGTACTGAATACTGAGCCCCGAGAAATCACGCGTTCCCGCGGGAACACTGACATTTGACGGAGAAATTTATGAGTGTTTGATCTATAGATCGATAGCATTGTGTGACATAAAGAAGCTGCTTCTTACTCAATTTCAGAGATTAGTATAATTTTATTGTTCAACAATCTTTTATACTTTAAAACTAATTTTTAATATTTGGTAGACATAGTTTTTTGCTTTACTTACTTCTAAAATACTACTTAATACTCAAATAGGATAATATAAAATAAATATTTGTGATGATGTATGGTACTTAGCCCACCCCGACTGAAAAATTACAATTTTGAAGTAAATAATTGTGCTTTTATGAGTTTTGTAAATAAAACTGAACATTAATCAAAAATTGTTTAATTATCCTAACAAAATAAATTCATTCTTAAATAATCTAAACAGAAGAGTACTTTTAATCTTACTTAAATCTTATCAATTCACTCCGTTTCAAACACACTTCACATCAAGTTAATGAACATTTACTTTGTTCCTGTAGACAAGAGGGCGAGGAGGCCTGAGGCAGCAGTCAGCGACACTATGTAGTTACTGAAAGGAGCATGTTAAGGAAAAAGCAACCATAAATTTGTACATATACCTTATCCTTTGTACCATTTGTACTTACTAATTTCTGAAACTCTTTCACAATTGATGCTATGCTGTGGCACCATTCTAATGGTATAAACCCGTGTGACGTGAAGTAAATTGGCTAAATTTAGTTCCAAAATATTTGAAATATGCCAAAGTGGGGACAGGCTAATAGTTTTATAGATCTTTCCTACAAATGTTTCTGTTACAATGATAATATATTAAGATAAAAGGATACACTGTAGGTGTGAATGAACGCAGTAAGTAAAAACTGCTCAAGATAACTATTGTCAGGAACAAGGCATTATTGTAGAAGATGGAGAAAGTTGTTGCTTCATAGTCAGCTACTTCATTTTTTTTCCATAAGATCCTGCAAATGATATCATAAATAACTTTTAAACATATTTTATTACAAATTTAGTATTAGTAATAAAATATGTTTTGAGCTTTTAGTAATTATTATGAATAATCACAGATTTGCTTTAATTTACTTAGGACTAACAGAGAGAAAAGACAAAAGAACTCTCCTTATAATATATTGTAGTTTTGGATTAGATTATTAATTACTGTCTGGTTATTAAGTGTCAACTTTATAAAATTTTAAAAGACATTTCTACCTAATCATTGTAGATACAAGTACATAGTAATGTACATTAATTATAGGGAAAGAATCATTTCTATTTTCTTATCTTGTAATAATACGAAAAGAACAGACGAAAAGACTCAAAGAACAAGGGCATCACTATCAACTAGATACACTTTAAGTAAGATTAGTAAGGTTACTGACAGAAATTTTTAGATACCTCTCATCCTTTTCCTTTCTGCTCATCTTTTTGTCATCTGCTAACTTTCGAGACATTTCGCGGGCCACAGCGTCTTCTCTACGGACAGCGACACGGTGCTTCAGCTGGAACTTTGTATTGCGATAGGCCAGGGCCAACAACCACGTACTGATTGCTGTTACAAACACGAACCATGCTAGGGATGTGTTTACCTCTAAAGAGTGCACTCTCCAGAACAACCCTTAAAAAATACAATTGCTGTTTAAAAAAAGATTTACTGAATGACACAATTGCCACATCAGTAGGACTTTCACTTACTGTAGACTTGCCATTACCAATTTTACATTTATGTATCAGTTCAAACAATAAATTACTAAAAGTTTTAATTAATAACTTACAAATCGGAATAGCAGATACAATGAAAGCGTTCCCATAAAATAAGGCTGATGACTTTGTTGAGACATTTCTGCTAAAGTCTTGCAACAAAAGCTCTTCTTCTTTTGTAAAGGCTTTGTTAGATTTTCCTGACATTTTTTAATCTTTAACTTCTAAATTTATACTGATGTTTTAAAACGTTATACAGAAATTTCCTACAAAATGCGAATGGTTCAAATATCGAAAATAACTTCAGACGAAAAAGTTTAAACGTCAATGACGTTTAACTTACAAATCACTTGACAGTCAACACATATTTTCAACGTGTCAGGCTTAGACAAAGTACCAATTATATTGAGCCTAAAATCATAACGTTGAAAGTAATATATTCGTCACCATATTATATATATCTATATCGCTATAAAGTTTGTTGATTTCTCATCTCAAAATTTGCTTTTCGCGTCCCTTTTTGCAGAACTTTGTCCTCCAAAAACAAGCGTAGAAATGATCTTCTTGTTCCTTTGTCTGTATTCTTTATTTTGTGCAGTCAAAATTCAAAATTCAAAAATCATTTATTCACGTAGGTAACACAATGTACACTTGTGATTCGTCATTAAAGAAATACATATTAATGCTTCTAATTTTACATTTACTGCCAGTTCTCAAATCAAGGGCGTAGAACGGAAGAGAAGAACTGGCAATAAACTCTCCGCCACTCTTTTTAATCGCCATGTTTTTTTTACACAACGTTTGTAAGGAGCTGCAACCATTACACCATGTTCCACATGACATCTTAAGTAATTAATAATAATAACATAAATTAAAAACAAAGACTTGTCCTCTATCAGCAGGAGGCATGGTGAAATAGGAGCACGCACTTACATTCTCGTGGGAACAACACGCAAACACATAGTCGAAATAATTAACATCACCGCATACACGAATTCAAGTACGACCAGTCACCACAAGTAGCACCCGTTCACGAGTATGACGCATGGCCAGCGATCGGCCCCCTCGCCATATTTTAGGGAGAGAGACAACCCGACGCATGGACGCCGCCACAAGCAATGACATTTAAGCGAGCATGACGATCCTTGAAATGTGGATTTGGCTACATAAGAAAATAATAATAATACTGAAATAATTTGATACCACATGGATCACGGTTTGTTCCCACTTTACATTAATACAGTCGTGGATGTTGACGATCGCCCCGGAGTCTGGAAATGCAGCCGAGAGATTCAGTCGCGTTACCTATTTATACTGGAGCAACTTATATCCAAGCACTAGGATCGTTTAAATATTCATTTATATTATAATAGGCCTTAGCAAGCAGTTTTACTTTAATGTACGACTTAAATTTATTTATTGACAACACTTGTATCTCACTAGGGATTTTATTGAAAAAACGTATACAATTGCCTTCGAATGAATTACTCGTTTTATGCAGCCTTCTGGTTGGTGCGCTAATTTTGTCTTTATTACGAGTACTATAATTATGGAACAAACACACAAAATATTCTCATAAATGTATTGACTTGCCAGAGTCAAAATATGTAATTCCTTAAACTTCTTTCGGACCAACTCCCGTGGGGACAACCCACAGATCGCTCTTATAGCCCGCTTTTGCACTACAAATATCGATTTAATGTCAGCTGCATTAGCCCACAAAATAACACCATATGACATAATACTATGAAAATAGCTGAAATAAACGAGCTTTGCTGTGTTCTCATCCGTAAGATCGCGTATCTTTTTTACTGCGAACGCTGCGGAACTTAGCCTATTCGAAAGACCTTCTATGTGTTGGCCCCACTGGAGTTTACTATCTAAAGTAATTCCCAAGAACACCGCATTATCAACAAAGTCTATTTCCTCGTCTTTAATAATAATTTGAGAATGACTACTTTTTACATTTGTCGTTACAAATTTAATACATTTTGTCTTCTTTTCGTTTAGCTTAAGATTATTTGTATTAAACCAGTGAACTACACTGGAGATGGCACTGTTTACATTCTCAAGTGATGGATTTCGTCGTTTCACTTTAAATAAAAGCGAAGTGTCATCAGCAAACAGTACTATCTCGTGAAGCTCCTTTACAAGAAATGGTAGGTCATTTATATAGACGAGGAATAAGAAGGGACCAAGTATGGAGCCTTGCAGTACTCCCATAGTAACAGAGGATCCCTGTGATATAGCTCCATTTACATTTACCTTTTGAATTCTATCGCTCAGGTATGATTCCATAAGATTTAGCGCTTTTTCGCCAATGCCAGTAAGATATACGATAGAATTTTCTATATTACGATTGGATTGCTGAATATCAGACAAGGTCGGAGATATTTTAAGTTTTCGATTTATTGTTATAGATGACAGAATTAGTTGTTAAACTCTTTAAATCTATCAATTTCTGCAATAATTTTTTTTTTTCTGGAAAATTACCTACTGGTTATCGGGGTTAATAATAAAAAAAAATCTCATAGATAAATAGGTAATCAGTCTTCTGTGTCAGACACACACTGTTGACTTTTTGAGTCTAAAGTATGCAACATTCCCCTACGTGTGTGTTAAATACAGAAATGGACGTTCTGTGTGTGGTGCATAGACGGAATCGAACATACAATATCAGAGATTAGAGTCACACGTTAAAGCCTTTAGGCTCCTAAAATTGCAGTGCTGATTAAAAAAATGAGAGTTCAAGTTGTAAACTTGATTTTGATGAAAATTGATTTTCAGATAAATCGTGATCAGATATCGTAGCCACCAAGGTTTTTTTTTAATTTTTATACAATTTTACTTTTCTACTATCTACGTTATTTACGTTAAAGCATCTTCATCATCGTCTCAACGACCAGACAAGACGGTTGATAAATGATAGCTGACACGACCATAGACTATGTTATATGTTAGGTATAAAGAATACTTTATGAATTGTATGATTGCTCATTGCTCCATCAGTCCTGTCCTGTGTACTTTAACTTTATAGGGTATGAACAATAATACCTTTTAAATACATTACAAATTACAATTTGCGGATTAAAAGCGATACTTTCTTTGCTACAATCATAACCCGCTAAAACATAAGTTGTTTTTTGTCAGTTGTTACTAGTTAGCAAAGTTTAGAGATAATTCTACATTGCAAGTTTGAATGAGTTTCGTGGAAGGTAATGAAAATTAATTTTGATGTTTCATGTAAGTCTATTCATTATAGTATTAAGAATCATAATTTCAGCAATAATGGAAAAAATTCCAGACAGACTAGGATATTTAATATTAACAGAGGATGGTGCTGTACTAGAATCGGGTGGAGAACTAGAAAACGACGAACGAGTTGCAACCATTGTTACTGATCTAATCAGTTTATCCAACAGGTAATTGCGTTTTATTATTCAATCTTTGTACTTCATGTGCATTTGAAAACTATGTGCTAATTTGTTTTAACTTTTCAGTGTAGATCCTGTGGCATTTGCTCCAAATGAAAATTTTAAAAAGATATCTATAACATATGAGGACCATTGGTTTATTATCTGTTTATCTAATAAAAAGATACATGTGGTAAAACGTAGCATACAGGCACCTGCCTCGGAAGGAATATCTGTTAATGTATAAAAACCTTTAAAACTAAAATCTAAAAATGGGTCGCAACCTTTTAATGAGCAGTTTAGAAAATGCTTCTTTTAACATTATTCTTCAAATCTTTTTTAGATGTATAACATTTATTATCAATGCCTGGGTAATTCGAAATGTTGGACATGATATTATTGGTATAATGAATGTTCGACTTTTGTTATTGGAAAGTACCATATTGTTCCTAAGTAGAGAACCCTTCTATAGAGCCTGCTTAGGAGAGAAGGATAACTGCACTTGGAATCAAATAATGAATCAGACATGGTTGTCAGTACCAACAAGCTGTATTCTTTCAACTGTTTTTGTATACATTTGGTTGCATATCCTGCCATTGGGTCACCCAGAGCTTGTGTCTCAGTATACATTTGGATGTTGGAGTGTTGCAATTTCATGCATTTTGGAGCTGTGTTCAGCTAATTTAATTCTTGTTGCACAACTTTATTGTTTTGTGAAGTTAAAGGTTATCCTAGACACATTACATATCATTGTTAGAACAGTGCTGTTTCTTTCAATTATTATTTATGACAGGTCAATGGCACTCATAGCATTTTCAGTGGCACAGGTAGTCAGTATAGCAGTTGTTGTAATTGCATATTATTCTTTCTTTTATTGGTACATTAAAAATAAACCTTTGTATTCTAAAGGAGGCATTAAAGCTAAAATAGTTCCAAACAGAATTTTACACAAATTATATACCAATATGGATGACTTTAACTTTACATCAATAAGAGACTTCTTACCAAAATTTTCAGGTTCATTTAATAACAGTTTTGATAAAAAGTTAAGTACTCTTACTGTTAGTTTTGCAAAGCAGGGTGTTGTGAAACAATTATTAACTGAAGGGGAAAAGTATGTTATGTCTGTGAGCCCTGTCATGTCATTTAGCGAGCAAGCTGTATATGATGTGGTTAATAATCTAGGTAGCTTAGCGGCTCGATTTATATTTCGACCAATTGAAGAAAGCAGTTATTTTTATTTTACTCAAATGCTTAACCGTGATTTACCACTCCATAAACAAGATCAATATAAAATTCAGGAATCTTGTACAGTACTATCTCAAGTTTGTAAGATGGTTAGTTCAATTGGACTAATTGTATTTGTGTATGGTCAGAGTTACTCGAGGACATTACTAGCACTGTATGGTGGAAAGGTGTTTGTTTCAAGCGGTTTGCCAGTGCAATTACTCAGGAGTCACTGTTTGGCAATTGTTTTAATGGCCATTAATGGCATGACAGAGTGTTACACTTTTGCTACTATGACTAGTGGTCAACTAAACAGTTACAACTATCTTATGGTATTCTTTTCTATAACTTTTTTGCTATTGTCATATATTTTTACATACTTATTTGGTCCAGTTGGATTTATTATATCAAATTGTATAAATATGTTTGTTCGTATACTGCATAGTATTCATTTTATTCGTGATAAATATAATGATACTAGTTACAAGCCATTGGAAGGTCTTTTTGTGGGTAAATTCTTTTTAACTATTTTAATGGTCACTGGTATTATATGCAAAATCTCTGAAGATAAGCTTTACGACACTAATCTAGTGGGACATTTGGTTGTTGGTATTGCATGTTTAATTTGTGTATTATTAGCATGGGGATATGAAAATAGAGAACTTGTTATCAAAACTTATAACAAATTTTTCATCAAAGTAAATAAGAAGCTTTCAAAAGACTAACATTCGTATTTGTAAATATTATTAGAAAAGTTTGTAAAATTTAGAATATTTATTATAAAATACTCAAATGTAATAAATATAGAACATTTTTATTTAATAAACAATATAATATAATGTTTTTTTATAACTATTATTTGCAGTCATTACATGGGATAAAAGAAAATTCCTTTCATCTGCATTTCACATATTCTTTTAACTTCATCTGAAAGATATAAGTTAGGTTTGTAATAGAAATATTGAAATAAAGTACTTAATGTTACAAAAAAATACCTGCTATCTCCTTCAGGTTGGCATTTTTTTGCATAACTATATAAAATTCTCTGTCATTTGAAGATTTTCCTGTTATCCAATATTCATCAGGAGTTTTTATAATGATTTCACCATATTTCCCAAGGCTGCAAAGGATTAAAACATATAACAATCTAGATTTGTGTAACTAATGATTGTGTTGTGTAGACAAGTTGCAGTGAAACTTACCTTCTGTGATCATTGTGTATTTCAGCAATTATATTCAAAACCTCTGGGCTGACTGCAGTCGATGGAGTTATACTGTTTGATGGCATCTAAAACAAAAAAAATATAATATTGGTAATTAATTTATATGTTAAACCTAACTGGGTAATAACATACTTACAGATGTTTTTAAAGCCAAGTTGAGTTTATTAAAATATAAAAATTTGTGATCGGTTGGGGGGATTTGAGCATTTACTAAAGCATGCATAGTGCATTGTTCTCCTATTGATGAGGCAATTGTAGAAAGTTTTGGACCAATGAAAGTGTCAAGTGATCTGAATGTTAACAGATCCAGATTGGTATTTTCTGTAAAAAAAAGGTTGTACAATATAATTACGTGGTATAGCTGTAACATATTTGATTGAAAGACATTGTTCACATACCATCTACAGTAAAGCTAACAGTAGCACTCAGTGTTCTATAAATAACAAGATAATATGCCTTTGCTTCATTATCATCTTCTCGTATTAAGTAAACTTTAATAATCTTTTTTAAATCATCCTCACTATGTATGCCCTCAGGGGGACTGATGAAACGACCGTGTCTTTCAGCTGCAGTAACAGCACCTCCTTGAATTTCCTTTTCCACTTGTTTGGGTAGCAAATTATGTATTAGATATTGGTATAGTGTCAGCATGTCGTCTTTGCATAAGCCATTCCTGCAAAAGCCTTTAAATAAATTACCTGTGATAAATAAATTAATTGTAAACATCTGCATAGCATATGCAAAACTTACCAAATAAGCTGATCATTGTACAAAAATGAAATACATTTGAAGTCTGGATAATTTACTTCAAGTAAATCAATAAAACAAATAACTTTAAAAAATGTATTTTTCTCTAAAGGTAAATAGTTAATGCCCTGTATGACATTGCTCAGATCATTTGTTACATTTCTGCTAGAGATATACTGAAATCATATTTAGAAACACATGAAATTATATTTTAATTATTGTTTCACAACTATTCTTGTATTAACACTTACTGGAGTAAAGAATTTTTCACAGATTGCATATGTATCTTCAGGTAGAATTTCTCTGAAAAATCCCATAAACATTCTAAACATTTTATATGATGATATCATAAAATCATGCATTATTGCTGGTTCAACCTGAAACAAAACTATTATTAAAAAACTTTTTCACTGCATACTTTACAACAAAACTATATGTTTAGCACATAATTGTGCTAAACTTCCACGCAAATAAGCGTTCTTATATGTCAAGAATTATTAAATACCTGTCTACATTTGGTTTTTTGAAACTTTCAAATAAAATCGAATCAACATTAACCATAAAAGTTAATATCTTTAAGGTAACATCTGCTTTTGATATTGATTCAATCTATGCAGACTTAGTTAAATAATTTAATTTATCTTTGATTATTACTAGTACATATTTATATGTATAACACTTACAGCATCTTTGATATCTCCAGGTAATTTTGTTGCATATGGTATGCAAATTACCTAAAAAAGCAGTACAAAGTTAATTCATATTTATAAGTAATAACAATGCCTGTATTTCTTAATTGAAAGAGTACTTTAGAATTGAAAACTTACTAGAACCATCCAAAAGTTTTTTTCAGGCTGGTAAAAAATATATCTCTTTGACTGAGTCTGCAATGCTTCACAAGGTGCTGATGAGAATGTTCTAAACAAATTTATAAAAAATTAGGAAGGATGCATTTCAAAATAGAATAACGTTGGTGCAGTTTTAGCTTACGTCATAAATTTAACAACTGCTTCACATAAACCAACTTGGGTTTTTTGGATATCTGAATTTACTTGACCAGGATAAAAATATAGAATCCTTTTCAATTCCTAAAAAAAATTAAAAAAAAATATCAATTTAAACATAATTTTTTTATCAGTAACGTAAAACATGATTACATGTTCTTACATCTCCTTCACGAGGGCCAAAATTCGAGTTAAAAATAAAGAAGGAATCTATTTTATTTATTATGTCAATCATTGTGATGATCAAATTTTAATATAGTTGTGGTGGTGACTACAAGAGCTTTTTTCAGCACAGGAATTTAATTTACAATCAAGGCAGCATCTAAAAAACTAACAATTTAAGGTTTTTTTTTAATTATCTTTCTTAGACTTTTAATTAAATTTATAGATTAATTATTAAATAATAAGTGGAAGAATCTATTTTGTTTGAATTTCTAACCCTAAACCCACAGTATTTGTTTATTTTCTATATTTAAAGTCAAGACATTTGTCAGCTGAAATGTCAGGACTCGGCACGATGAAGTTACAGATGTAGATTTTATCACAGATAACGTTTGAATTATATTTTTTGATGATCCACAAATAGTCGATTTTAAGTATTAACAGCTGTTTTATGAAGAATGAAGAGTTAATCTTTACATATTGGACGGAAGTGGTTGGAAAAAATGCAATACAGGTATGTTATAATTGAGCGCTCAATTAAAGTACGATCTATAAATTTCTTTTGTAACAAAATACGTATGTACAAGTCGTCGGAAATATCTGCGAACCTGGCTTAATGACGTCATACAAACTGGAGAGATAGCAAAAAAATTGAAGATGTAAAAATAAAAAATATTTTATTTGTGTACTTATTTTTATTGATACTCGTACCTACTTGAAATTTACAAATACTTATTATTTACATTATTTAAAATTCAAATTATTTACAAATTTACAAATAATACAAAGAAAAAGTAGAGAGGAAGAGAAAGTGGCGAAACTATTCTAGAAAAGCCTCGACACCAGACATGGTAGCGCTGTCGTTTTCGTCATCTTCTATATTATCACTCAAAATGTTGTCTTCGGTTTCGCTGTCACTGTCTTCTCCTCCTAATGAAATTATTAATTCGCGTTCTTCATGTTCATATAATCTGTCATTATGCCAAAACTTATCTCTTAAGCGATCAACACGGTTGCATTCTTTTTTCCAATCTTCCGGGGTTATACTTTGGATCGCTGCCTTTGTTAACCTTTCTATATCTTTTTCTGATTGGTCAATATTTTTGTCTGCCACCCTTTGTTTCATCAAATTCCAAACATACTCAATAGGGTTGAGATCACAGTGGTAGGGTGGCAGACGTAATACCTCATGTCCATGAGCTCTAAATATTTCATCGATGAAATATACCTTCTCAGGTTTATTTCTTTGAATCAACATATACAGTTCTCTTTTAGTCATTTTGTCATCAAATTCGATGTTGTGTTCTTGCAGCCATGTTTGCATTTCGTTTTTACGTGCACTGAAATTTGGCGGCTTATTTGCCTGCTTACTGTGATAGGGCGCGTTGTCCATGACAATTATTCCGTTGGGTGGAAGGTTCGGTATCAATTTCTCTTTAATCCATTTGGTAAAATTGGACGCATCCATTTCGTCATGGTAATCACCGGTTGTTGATTTACACTTATATAGGAGCTCGGCTCCTTGTATGAAACCGTTCTCATTACCTGCGTGTACCACAATCCAGCGCTGACCAGGAGAGTGATTTATTCGGACACTGGAATCACTACTATTTTGCCAACATTTTGAGACAGTATAGTGTGAATGTATCCAGGTTTCGTCGATAAATGTAACTGGTTTTTTTTCGGCACCACGTTCGTCATTTTCTTTCAGTCGCCTTAAATATTTTGCTCTCCAGGCTGCTATTTCAGGTCTTTGCACCAAAAATCGCGTTTTCGTTTACATTTTTAAAGCTGTACCCCAAATCATTTATTAGTATGTTTCTTAGGGCGTCTTTTTGGCCGGGAAAGTTGAGCTCCCGTTTTGCTATTGTAAGAATCTTTTTTAAAGTAGGTATTTCTTTTCTTGTGGTATAAAAACTTTCAACCAAAGAGCGTATCGCGCATAAATCAAAATTATCTAGATCTATTTTCTTTTTGTATTTTTTACGCTTTTTCCCTGGTGTCGAGAGCTTGATAGTGTCCGTGGCAACTGAAGCTGAAGTACTAGGTTGTGGATGCTCACCATCTTCGAAGGACGTCATGTCTTCCTGAACATTCGCTGCTCACGCTGTTTCTGTTTGTATTTTTTTTTGCTTCACGTTTTATTGTCATTATTGTCGTTTTAGATAAACCAGTTGCAGCACAAGCCCTTTTTGTTGCTTGTTCAACCGGCACAGTGAAAGAGCCGTGTTTTTTTTCATTTTCAAAGAATTGGATTACTTTGAGCACTAAATTCCGCTCTGCACTATGTATAGTCCTACCCATCTTACATACAGCACTAAATAGGTAGTTTATGTAATATTTCACCAAACAGAGAAACAATAAACACTAAAATGCGATTACGAAAGCAAGAATAATACACGTGCGTCGGCGATTGCGTTGGCAACGGTACTGGATAGGCGAAAACGGGGCGGGGTGCGGGGAAGCGCCAGGGGAAGCGCATTCCAGCGATGTTCGCAGATATTTCCGACGGCTTGTCAATATATTGTTGATATTTCACGTCCAAATTATTGCTGGTATTTGGTATTTACTACACTAACTACAATGCGATCTCTCTTTCTCAATTTCTGAGATTGATCTAGAGATCTGGTAATGTTTACCAAAACAAACTAAGGGAAGCTCCCAAAAGAAAATAGTTTTTCTTGTTTCTGTAACATTTATGCTCCGCTTCTATTAATTGTAGCGATAAGCCATTAACCGAAAATAGTTGCCGATAGCTTTATATAGGTGGTTGTAAAGACTTAAAAATCGGTTCAATAATAGTAAATTCGGTAATCAACCAACTCTGTAAGTACCCACAGCTATATAGTTTATCTATCACACACAAAAAAAAAATATTTTCTCATTATAATATCATTGTAGATTAAACCCTAAAAATTCATATGAATAAATCTAGATTATTAATTCCTGGTATAATTTTAATAACACTACTACTACTCCATATACTAGTTACTCCAGCTAGCTCGCACTCACACATTGAGAGAAAGCAACGTCCAACTGCTTTATTCTGCAATCTATAATAAGCTTAATAATATAAGCTTAATCTAATATTGCACGCGATCGAATCGGTTACCATAGTTACTATTGTTTATTGTGGTAGGTACCGTTTTACGAAAATAAAGTTAATATCGATGCTGATAATTATACAATAACTTAATTGTTTTATCATATTTTTGTTTTTTTTATAATTGTTTGTAACGTTTTTAATTTATTTGAGAAAGTTTTTATAAAATTGTATCATGTCTGTGCGAAATCCGCGCCTTCCTTTACTCCCAGGATATGGCACTAACCCAATGGTAGGTATTTAGTTGATAGTTTATATATGTACATATTTTCATATAATGTTTTTAAATATTTGAGTATATTAAGATAGGAAAAACGAGATTCGGAGTTCGGCCAGTATTTACATCCATCGATAAAGTGAATATGTTGGTGGATAAAGCGGAAGGAGTGAATCGGGTGCCTTCTCTTTACTGTCGTAAGCAAGCGCCAGACTTACCAACCTGGATAATGTACGACAAAAATGTAAGTAATAAGTAATTTGGTTGGTCTAAATCTTCTATCTCTTCCGTTATTCATAGGAATTAATGATGTCTTCTTAAGAGTGAAACTTGGTATTGGTCAGTTCAAGGTTTTCTTTACAGATCTTAAGGTTTCAAGCCTTTTTCCAACAATCACTTCACGAAATGCGATCAGGATCACATATACTTAGAAAAGTAGAAATCTTTTTCTTCTTAGAAGATGGTACAATAAAAGTGATGGAACCAAAAACAGAAAACAGCGGACTCTCTCAAGGTAAAGTAAATTTAAAAAGTTTTGCCCGTCAAGTTTTCAAATTAATTACGTGCAAGGCCACGCACACTCTGAATAAAATTTCGTGGCAAGTTAGGAGACTATTCTGTGTACGACGGCTTCTGCCACTAGCAATGACTTTCGAAGACTCCACAATCTTTACATCTAATGCAAGCCGCAGTAAATATGGTATTGAAATCGCCGATGTCTTTAATACTTGTCGAATAATGATTTAATAGCGGCCTTCACACGTACAGTTCGAACCGTATGAAACAGCCCGCGCCATTCCGATCTTTCGTCCAATCCGTCCGTGTAGACGTGACAAGCGCGTGGTGGTTTGACATTTCGATGCGGCGCATTGGTGTGTGCGAACGTTTGTACAGTTTTATGCGGGTGCCTCGTGTGGATGACAATTATTTCAAAATGGCAGTTTGGAGCGTGGAAGCAGTGACAGGTTTTATAAGGATATATCGGGATATCTTAATGTTGCGGAAAGACGTTCTTCTGGTGTTATGCATTTTCTCATAACTGTATCTTGCTTAGTAATTCTGCGACGGATAAGTTCCAATAAGTAATCAAAATTATCGCCGTCCTTCCGTAGGTAATTTTTTAAATCTTCTGGATAGTTTTCTCGTATTTCTTTTAACATGGGTAAATGTCCAAATTTTCGTCTATATTTCTTAACCCATACACGTCTCCTTTTTAGATTATTAAAACCAACCACAAAACCAGCTAACGCGATCACTAGACGTGTATCCATTTCTACTGTACCGGTTAAAACTGAAAGAAAACTTTTAAAATTGGTCGACATTCCACGCGCCATTCCATACTGCGATCTAATCTCTCGAAAAGCATTTATACGTACAGTTTTATCTGCAGGAAAGCGAAATAGACAGTTTGAACCGCAGTTCAAACTGTTATTACAATTGAAGCGTAAAGTAGAAGCACAGATCAGCGCGCGGTCTAGTCTGCACAGATTTATCTGCAGATTGGTGCGCAGTTCCAGAAATGCCATTCCGAACTGCACGTGTGAAAGCCGCTAATGTCTATATTATATTTTGTTCTTTTTCTCAGGCACCCTTATAAGCCGCCAACGAATTCGTCTACCATTTAGCTACGATAACTACTATGATGTACTGGATTTGAATATCGGTCGCGAAGTGACGTTCTTCGGTAAAGTTTTTAAGGTCTGAACGAATGAGGATTTTGAAATGTTATGGAATTTAGATTTAAATATTAATGAGACTTGTTTGTTTTCTTTTAGCTTGTAAACTGTGACAACTTCACGAGGGTATTTTTAAATCGTTTGGGAATAAATGTTCCCGATCCCATACCTTGGCCAGATGCAATCAAGGTATAGTAAACGGTCGTTATTATTTCTGGACGTACAATATTAACTTAAACATCATAATAATAATTATTAAAATATTATTTAAGAGAGGGACAGACAGAGGGAAGCCCCCGAAACATCGTCCATTTCGTCAGTTTCTGGATTTCGATAGACAAGTTTTAAGGTATCGTTTATTTCTAGAAATATTAACTGATAAACATTTAGTTAATATTTCGATGATAAATCACAATTATGATAGATAAATACTCATTCATACATGCTCGGTGTTTTAGGTTTCATGGTTATTGGGATGACAGAGATAGCGAGTTTGGTATTATGCATCTTTTGGAGATCCATTACTTTTTGGCGGATGACACGATTGAAATTAAGGAGGTCCTTCCTCCGAATTCTGGAATGGAAGCTGGACCTATGTTCTTAAAGAGAATGCGTCTTCCAAGAGTAAATTATTCTTTAATTAGGCTTTTTTAATTACGTTTTATTCTTTATTGGTAAAAAGATACGTATGAAACTAAGCGAATGAATGGTAATGTTTCAGAAAATCCCTTCACATGTAGAAATGACAGGTGGTCCCAAGTGTCCCTCGTACAGTCCCGCAGATCTCAGCATCGGAGCTGTTATAAATCTTTACGGTCGCAAGGTGGTACTCACGGACTGCGACCCCTTCACTAAAGAGTATTACAGAGTCACGTATGGTTTCGGTCAGTAAATTAGTATCGTTTTGTTTGTTTATTATTTCAGCTGAATGCTTAAAGGAGCATCTTAACTGCGTTTGCCCTTAAATGATTTATTACGAAACAGTTTTTAGACAATTTATGCCATAAAACCCATGTTCCATGTTAATTTTTTATCCATAGATTCTTTTAATCCTCTCCCAATACCAAAAGACGAAGGCACTGAGTGTGTCAGCACAAGTGTGGCAGAACGACAACTTCCCCCGTGGAACGGATACGGGAGCTACGACGACTCAGCTGAAAATTGCCGCACCGTGGAACCCAAACCACCTCATAGGGATTTTATTAAGTTCTTGAATAAAGACCGGTATTTACTTAAATCCTCAATTATAATAAGAATAATTGCTATTAATAAAAAAGATAGTTTGTGATAGGTACGTTTACCTAATAATGAGATGCCTGAGAGCAAATATCTAATATTTAGTTAGCAGGATAATTGTAAATTCCAATATTAAAAAAAAAAAACAATTGATTGTCTTTGCATGATTACAGTGTCGGGTTTGACTCCCACGTTCTACGTTTTGCCGCTCGCCTCATAAGCGATAACCCTGAGGATAAGCTCCGATATTTCATCATTAAATACTTCTTATGTGATGATACTATCGGAATTTTTGAGCTTGGCGAACGTAACTCTGGATTTAAGGTTGGCTTTTAGTTTATTCATAGTAATAACCGCTCACTTAAAGTTTAAATGTTAAACATAATGTAATGCAATAAATAAATCTGTGGAAATTGGTACAATTTGTATTTAAATAGTTTGAGTTTCTTGTTCAAAAATAAAGTAAAAACTGTTTGTAAACAGCAACATCTATTCCCACTTTACTAGGGAGAAACTCATATTGAATTAATGTTATGTAGGGAGGTAAATTCTTCCGTCGCGACAAAATGTACCTGCCTGACGTGGATTTCTTCGTTCCCAAAGAGCCTCCCGCCTACACCGATAAGGATATGTGGGTGGGGAATGAACTAATTATCAATAAACACTGCTTTCGTCTCATAGGAGCTGACGAATACGCTTTGCGGTATATGGAAGTGAATGAGAACGAGGTCGGTGTTATCTTCTTTTAGTAAAATTTTGTATTTTTACGAGGTCAATGATTTCATTTTACACTGCTATACTGCACTTGTATTTAATCTTATCACTTATAATTTTCAGTATCCTATGGCTAACTTAGCCCTAATTATGGATAAAATTCGTCGTACTCTAGCAACTCAAGAAAATGGCTACAAAAATTTTGTAGCAAAATATATGGATGCCGCGGTACCCGACAACAGAGAGCTCATGTCTGTCAGGTGCTTCAAGTAAGTGCCCCATAAGTCATATCTAGTCTACGCTACGTAAATCGTGTGGTGGGTCTTATTGAAATTAATACTTAACACTATATTACACTAATATAATATTTAAATATGTACTGTTTAGAAGTTGAGACGTTTATTTGTTAGGGGAATTTCGTTTACAGACAAGCTCTCAAAGAAGTTATGTGTGAAAGAATGACGGAACACGAATTTATTACATTAATACGCCACTTCCGGGGAGATCCCGGTAAAGAGAAGAGCCCTCGGCGTGAAATGATCAGGTGAGTCCATAAATCTAAAACAAGTTCTGGACTCGTGAATAACTTAGAGATGCTTTGGTTTTCAGAAAGGTCTCCCATTTTAAATATATGGAATTTATGTTTATTGTTTAACCCTAGGTCCTTGGTGTTTTCGGACCTAACGCGTGGTCTCTGGGACGAAAGGGTCAAACTAAGAGAAGCTCTGCTGCACGCTGATGCAAACGGTTTGGGAGTATTATCAGTGCCACGGATGAGGCAACTCCTCCGAGCCAACCGGTTGCCGATCAATACTGATCTCATGGACTGCATGCTGCAAGTGTACGTTTTACATTGCATTTTGCATCTACATAGTTATTTGTGGCTTAGGTTTATGTATCGAGTCAATCTCATTTTTAAACAAACCTAGAAGCAATGAAGGAATCTATTTTAAATGTTTTAGGCTGAATAAGGATTCCGACTGTAATATAGTGTATGAAGATTTGTTGTCATTCCTCGATTTTCAAACTCGTCCCGTGTACAACCTTACTGAGGGAGATTATCAAAAAGTTGTGAGACACGCTCCACCGCTTAAAGATACCGAAGTAAGAAGTATTTAAATTATATTTTTAGAAATATATAAATATAATAGAGCATTTAATTTAGCACCTAACATATTTAGTTTATCTAGAGCCAACAAATTAAAAATCTGTTTAGTTTGATAGTCGTTCCTGATTCCGGATTGGAATGCTTTAGAGTCTAGATTAGACCATTTTTTAAAGTTTCAGGAGTTTAATCAATATGTATATGATTTTAGTGTAAGCTTTGGGCTGAAACAGAAACAATTATTCAGGAAGGTTTTGTTAATTGGAACGCTTTTCTTTGCCAACTAAACCTTGAAAACCTCGTCAAGGAACAAACTCAGTGATGTGATTTTTTTATTGTAGCAAATTTAATGTAATTTTTTCAATAAATTTGTTTGTGTGAAAAGCGTTTTTAATAACTTCCTAAGAGAAAACGTAACACTGTTTGAAGATGTGGGTATCTGCTTTAGATTATTTTCGATGTAATAAAAGAAAAGTGCTTTCCAGCGATGTATTTTTGGTCACAATAAATATTCAAATTTCTTGCCTTTCGTGCAAATAAAAACTATTTTATTTTAGTACATTAAGAACGAGGCTTCGTAATCTTGCACAAGACACTTTATAATGCTGTAGGTACATAACTTTTCGAGAATAAATAACTTATATCTATGTCATGCTTACAATAAATGACTTTTAAGGCTTAATTAAAACTATCCTTATGTTTAGAGATGATATTGTACAAGTTTTGATTCACATATTTTTATTATAACAAGTATTATACGTATCGCAACATAGTTTATATTTGTGGTTAAAATATTTATTGTAAAATACACTTATGAAGCCGAAATATTTCGTTTAATTAAAAATCAAATAAAACTATCATACGAGTATACACCGAGACTTAATAATCGTTTTGGAAAATATAATTTTGCCCTCTGGTGAAGAATCAATACAGATTTTAGTTCTTAAATGTTTTCTTTTTTAACAAATTATCGATTTTATTGACAAAATTCGTGTTAGTTCGGCTATTAGACCTTTTGTATCATTATTACGAGCGATTTCCATTTATTTTAAATAAACAAACTTTGCATTTAGGATCCAGCATACGCCCTCCCCGCACTACTCTTCAACTTCCAACTCTAATCCTAAGGAGACCCGTCAAAGATTACGATAAGATACTACGATCAAAGTACGAAAAAGTGCAAAAAAGAAATTCAGAACAAACTTTTTTTTTATAAGCTTGAAACTAAAATTAATTTTGAACTACATATTTTATTCCTTTTCAAAAACGACTAGAAAGCAACAAGTGTATGAAATATAGTCTTTAACATGGCACAAAGTATTCACTTGTGTCGTAATAACTTATTAAAAGTAATATAAAAATACGCAATAATAAATACTTGCTTAGTAAGTTTCTAAAGTTAGGGCGTTTTGCCACTGGAATCTATTACTTTATTATTCCAATTATAATGATGAATCTAATAATTAAGACACTGGTTGAACATGTCCAGTCCATTAACTAATTCATATTCAATGTACATATTTACAAATTTATTTTAAAAAGTGCGCAAATATTTTCAGGTTGGTAGTCGAGACTTAGCGCTAATCTCAACTCTGACTCTGAGGGTAAGATCCCGCTGTCACCACATGTCCTTAACACGTTCTGCTGCTGGTATCTGTGGTCTATATCTGAAAATCAGTTAATCAGTCTATTTATGTAATATAACTTATTTGTCTCCCAAAGGCGTAACGGCAGACACATACACTTTCGTGCTGCTTACTCCAAAACAACTATTTCTTGCATTGTCAATGGAACTCGAGACCTCTAACTGTCAGCAGACAGTGCCACTGGCCACAGTGCCACAGTGGCAAGCAATTAATTATAAAAAATCTCTATCAGCAGGAAACATGGTGGAACAGGAGCGCACAATTGCATTATAAAGACTTACTTTTCCACTTACATATATAAGAATATAGACTCCTCAAATATAAATAGTATGTATTCTTCCGACGACAACGAAGAACTATTATGAGAGAAGGAAGTAGCGAAAAAACACACACCTGTGAGTTGGAATTGATTGTGTTGCTAAAGGTGACATTTTAATCCCCGAACTATTACCATTTATGCTAGAACCTATGCTTGAAGCTGAATCCACACTGAAAAAAAAAAGTAATGTTATAATAAAGAAAAACCTTTATATAATGCAAGGATTATACCGGATTCCCTCATTCGCAAAGATTAAACTTGATCGTATAAAATGTGAATTACCGGTCAATTTGCCGTCTGAAGAGAGGATACCTCCAGGGAGAGTTAGGTTTCCGTATCTCGTGGTGGAAGGCGGGGTTGTCTCGGCCTCGCTCCCGACCCTCGTTCACTATGGACATCGATACCTGTCGCTCTGTGTCGCGGGTCTTTGAGGACAGCCTCCTGTGTACGGAATGGACCGTAAATTTTATATAATCTTGTACGCTTGGTATAAGTAGATTACTTAAGAGCTCTGAAAAGTAAATGATACCTTAATATTCTAGTAGGTAACGAAGCTTGGGCCTGAGGTCGCGCCCTCTGTCGGCTATCCACAATGAGAACATGACGATCATAAGGAGTGTCATAGTCAACTTCTAATATTGTGGAGAATCTGTGCGGCCAAACCAGATCCAATGCAGATATGAATAATCCTACAACTAGACAAATGCATCCTGAAAAGAAATACATTTAAGTTTATATGCAATGACTTACTGGCATCGTGTCTCATCATCGTGGCTACGCACGTATTCGATCGCAATAATTGTAAATAGGTATTACCTGCCATAAGGACTAGCCAAAAGCACCATCCCATAGAAAAGAATAGCATGGCACCATCCAACCTCACAACTAGAGGATCTTGGGGTAATGACGCCCAATAACCGCCTGCAGCAGCACAAAGGGTCACTCCGAGAACGGTCATAGCGTAAGCCCCATATCGTGGCACCACCACAAGCAGGAGATTCATCACCATCCATAACGCAAATGCCGTCCTGAAACACTCAAATACGTCAATTGTATAGTTCCGCTTTAAAAACTGAATGCAGTCGGTAGCGTTGCAAGGGTTTCGAATATTTAAAACAAACATCATAAAAAAAGCTTAACGTTGCTTTTCAAACAATGTAGACAAATTGCGGGAAACAACGCCCGCACATCTTCTAACTGCTAATTAAATGACGCCATGAACGCACGGTCGGCTAAGCAATTCACAAATGCGTGGACCAGTATAAGCTTACCCTGCAACGATACCAACAGCGACCAATACATACATGCACTTTCATACCAAAGGAGCGTTGTGGTGGTGTAGCCCGCAGCCCGGTACTTCGCCCCCCATTCGAACCCTTCGTGCTCCACGGCAAAATGTTCAGCCACCGAGAGCAAGGGGTATGGAAGACCACGAAGTAAGCCAGCTCGGTACCACTCCTGTATAGCACCGGCTTCTTCCCATTGAAACTGTTCGTTGTAGTCTACGCCGGGGTCCGCTTTTGTTAAGTTGCCCCACGGAAGGGCTGGAAATATGTATTGTTTTGGATCTATTATTATCTCTTACAATCCCATTAAAAACTAAACTGTTAAAAACAACTAGTGATGTTTTAAAAGAAAAAAACAACAATTAAAACTAATCGGCATAACTTGTGGCGAGGTAAGTTTGAATTAGTAACTCTGCCTCTTCATCATTATTGTGTGTCTCTAAGTTTAAAGTCCATATTACCTGAGAGGGTAACGTTGACATGTCCCAAACCCACGTGTATGGCCAGCCAACAGTCGATGCGTTCCGCGGAAAAGGCGCGGTAGGCTGCTCGCGCGATGCGCGTACCGGCCACATGCCACGAAGATCCGTGTTTACATACTGAAATATAGTTTTTTCCCTAGAGATTAGTATTGGAACCCGCGGCATTTCCGTATAGGTTCATAATAAACTCTTCATACTATTTTTATGTCTCAAGGATGAAATAAAATGGCAAATAAACATTTGCTACTTTAATTAACTTCATAATTAAGCTCCGGTTGGCTAGATTTTATCTGTATTCCTTTTGTTAAAAAAGATTACTTAATTAGTGCAATTCTGTGAAACCACACTTTATCACGACAACTAAACTTAAAGGTTATCCTTTCATTATTAAGTGGTCATAATAAAAGATCAATTTATATTATCAAATTAAAAGGTATTTTTTTATAGAATAGGGGCAAACGGGAGGAGGCTCACTTGATTTTAAGTAATACCGCCGCCAATGGACACTTTCAATGCCACGGGACTCGCGAGTGCGTTGTTGGCCTTTTAAGAATTGGTACGCTCTTTACTCTGTACAAATTTAGTAGTATATTATTCAGAAAATAAGCGGTATCAGTCTGGTGGTCTATATACGTGCGATTTGCAATTTTTTTTAAAATAAATGAAATGGACACAGAAATCTGGCTGGCCGTGCCCCATTTTAGGGGTTTCCGGACTTCATCCTATAACAAAATAAACAAACGTCATTCTTACCGAGTATAACAGTGCCGACGAACAAACTCAGTGTAACTATGACGAATGTTGAAAATCTCTGTAAATTTATAAAAATTAGATTAGAGAGACAAGAAAATTGTTAGAAATACCTATTAGTAAATAGGTTTTAGTATGTTTTTATTTTAGATGCATCATTTTTATCAAAATTAATTTAATATGCATTTAAAGCTACGTAACAAAAATGTTGATGCTCATTTTAATCGGTCATTAGCATCATGAGCCTTATTTTGATTCTCTATGCCTCGTGAAAGCAAATGCCGATAGTGTTAATTCATCTCTATCACCTGGATACCCTAATTTTAAAGCTATGTTGCAGCCTAAAGATCATTACCGCTCACCTCCTTCCTGACACCTGGAAATATAGCAAGAAACGCTATGTAGAGAGTCACCGCGCCAACTATGAGCGCCAAGGCTGGGACGTCTGCTGCGACTGCGGTGCGGTTATGGTAAGCATACAGAGTCGGACCGCCTTCCTCGCGGAAAGCGTCAAACCACCCCTTCATCGCTCACCCAGCCTGACAAAAGAACATTAGATAAGATTAAGGTGCAGCATCATATTATACTGTGCTACAATTTGTTTTAATGAGGCAAGGAGTTTTATTCATTTAAGTTATAGCTCACTGGAAAACATTTTACTACATGGAACCTCTTCTTTTATCTGTTCTGAAATGGTGGCCGTTAAAATTTAATTACCTACTGCCTTCCGCCGTTTGCGTATTGTACTTGACACACATAATATATGTATAGTTCAACTTATGGCACTTTTTATTTTAATTGTTTCATATACTTTCAATACTACCTATACAACTCATTTTACAACATAATCCAATTCATTTATGAGTTTTTTTCTATCAACGAAGTAAACATTTCTTTCTTCTCTACTTGAGTGGTTAAAGTCGTTATAAAATTAAGCATGAAAGCAGGAAATAGGAATAGCTATTCAAGAAATGAATAAATGAATATTATTCATATGAATTAATGCCATCACTATTATTATAAAGGGCTAAATAAATAAATATAGTGAAGACGGCAGGGTTGGGTTTATTGTGGTATGACGTGTCCAGCATTAGCGACGTTTAAGTGGAATTCCGATTGGGAAATAAGAGTTTATTGCCTTCAAAAAAGTGGATTTATTCAGATTATTTTGTTTTTCAGGTCCTCATTCGGTAAATCTTATTGTATATCAGCCTTATACATTATTTATTAAAACTTCCAAATGACTGCATCAAATTATTGGATATTATAATGTTACGTAATGTAAGTGTAGGTACGTGTAAAATATTATATTGTTAACAAACATTTTTTTAAAAAGCTCGAAGTGGAATGTGAAAAATCTTCAATATGTTAACGAAAACGTGCATAGTCTATATATTATGAGTGGTGGCTATACAACATATACATCTAGTTAATAACCATAACACATACTCAAATGTGGATGTCCTAAATTATAGAAAGGTAAAGAAAATAATATCGTTATCTATGCCCAATGCTGAAAATGTAATTGCATTTTCTTCATAACCTTATGTTTTCCTTACTAATAAAGTACGGACGGCCTAGATTACGTAGTGCTCTTTTTAAAAATTAATGCATTGTATTAAAAAAAAGACCGATTATGTAAGGGTGTATAATCGTTTTTTCATTTTCAATTTAACGTTGATTATTTCAATGGTTTGTTGGTTTGAACTATTACCATGTTAACACAATTCGTAAAAAAAGACCGTTGCCCTAACCCGGAAACATGTGGGGTCGTTGTGCCTGAAGTAAGGTCACATGTGCTGGCGACCTTCGGGGCTCAGCCGTAGGTGATAGCAAGGGCGAACAACAAGTCATGGCCAAACATGGATCTAAGAAAAATGCTTGTTGAGGAACGCGACTCAAGATTATCGGATTGATTTAATTCTTTGCATTATGAGGATTATAAAAGGATTATTTTTCGTAGAAATAAATTATTGGATACCCAGTTATGTTTTTCTAATAAAAATATTTTAAATTAATTACATAGGCTAGCTTTTATGATATTATTTATATTAAAAAACCGAAATGTACAAATAAATCCTTGGTATACAAGCACCTTTTCAACAAAAAAGGGGTTTTTGCTTTGTTTAGGTATATTAACTTATTATTGTTATTAATTGAAGGCTACATGAGGCTTCACCATTATGTTTTTGTTCGACCATTAGGAGTCCTGTGATGGCCGGTCATACGCAAGGACGTTATCTTCTTATGATTGTCTTAAGGATGTTCTTGCACTCCTTCTATAGATTATCAACCTTCACACTATTGTTTATCGCTCTATCATCACGTAATACTTTATGATATTATAGGGAAAATGTGCAACTTTTAACTTAAAGACACATCATTAATTTCGGTACCTTGTTTGGGCACACTGTTGACGATCCGGTACGTGAGTGGGTTATGGCTTAAATCCTAATAGTATAAGATCCCGCTATACAACGACCTTCACCGAGATGCTTATTTAATGAAACTTATTTTATATTTAATTTAATATGTCAATAAATATAATCCATATGGGTTGCCTAGCAAATTTCAGTCCAGAGTATGTTTAATTAATATTTAAAAAAAATTTTTTTTTATAATTAGCATGTAGTAAATTTTTTGAACTTTTTTCAATCAATATTTTTAATCAGGGTAGTATTATATATGTATCACTATAACCTTCTTTTATACTAAAGATGTATATATACTTTAGTGTCACATAAAAAATATACACATAAATAAGTAATTGATTAAAAACAACCTAACTTTTGCATATTCTATGGGCTTCATACTTTCGATTGGTATAGAATTTATCTAATAATCATACCGGTGAAATGTTTAAAAAAATATTTTTTTTTTAAATTAATTAAAAATACTCTGGACTGAAATTTGCTAGGCAACCCATATGGATTATATTTATTGACATATTAAATTATATATAAAATAAGTTTCATTAAATAAGCATCTCGGTGAAGGTCGTTGTATAGCGGGATCTTAGACCATAAAATTAATATGAAAGGTATATATATAACAGGAGCCCGTATTTACGCTTTCAAAACTTCAAGCTTCAATGAAGTGATTAATGTTCTTTATAAATATAAATGTGTGGAAAAAAATTATGTCAAACTCGCTAGTTTAGCGTGTAATGTGGAATGTTTCGGTTATGTAAGAGTATTAACATTTTACTTCGGCCAAAAGTTACGAAGTCTTTGACAACCCGTTGACCCGCTGACCTTAATAACCTAAAAGATGTTCGGATAAACTAACTAGGCTTTTGTTTAAGTTGTAATGTGAGAATTCTTAACTACTTTACATCCATCAAATTGATAGGTTTGCATATCCGTTACTTTAGAGTAGGTTTAATAAGAATTGAATACAATTTTAAACTTTTACTTAGCCAAGACAACCTACTTAGTAATAATAATAATAACAACATACACAACTCTCTGACTTAAAAAAATAAAGTAATAATGTACCAAAACCATGTATCATCGCTTTATAAAATCATCAAATTATATGTAGATGATTACGGTCAAAACGATAGCAACTGCGTAGGCCATTTCTGCTGTGTCAAAAGGCAATCGGCATAATTGCAATAGGTCTGATATTTGACATAGATTTTGTTATTTTATGACTAAAAGTTCGTTTTCAGAAATATCGCGCATAGCACACAGCCTGAGCGCATTTTTTACAATGTCAAGAAATTTTGGCGACCTTCGATACGAAGGATCCCGGATATTTTTTAAAGATTCTGTTCATAATTATTTTTGCTTGGTAGTTTTGTTGCAAGAGGAGAGATTAGATAATTTATGAAATTCCATTAATAAATAGAAATATTTCGCTCAACAATTCCCTGACCACAGATCTATTAACAAAATTACAATGCAGTCAGCACATTTAAAAAAACACTTGTCAAAGTTCTGACCTATATTTTGATCAGGGCAAATAATGGACCATATACGTGCACTCAGCAGATCAAATATTACAAACAAAAGCGTCCCCGCCTTATACCATAAGCTTCATTGATTTGGAAAAACACTGAGGACATAGTTTTTTAATATTTCATTTGATGACACTACAAAGTTCTGAACGACTGTTTTACCGACGTTTATTAAAGTTAATGATTTTTAAGTTTCGCAAGAATTCTGCATCAATGAAACATCATTACGTTATAGTTATTCACTTGTTTAATATTTGGCAATTTCTTATCTTGCGGAAAACACCCAAAAATCAAGTTATTGTTTTACACAGATGTCGAATGTTCGTCGCTTTAAGTCACTTAGTTTTACGTTATTTTGACCGGATGAAACTTACACCACTCGAAGACTAAGTTTTAAAATAAAAGAACTTTAAACTATATAAACTGTTCTTGTCTTGTCCTCGCAACACTGAATTTTCTTAACAGCTCTGCGGTTACCGCAACCTACAAAAGTGAACCTCGACACTGAGAGGGTATATTAAATTACCACTGCTATCAGCATTCAAGATCAAGTTAAGAGTGAAGACAAAAACAGAATTGTTTTCTGAATTTACGCTAATAAGAGAAAGATCGTAGAAGAGAACGAGATCTTTTAATCTTTATTTACTTAAATATAAATAAGTTGCGCCATAATCGGAGCTTCACGGCTTATGCCCTTTAATAATATTGACTTCAGTAGACATTCGTTGCGCAGTGAAGATACCTTATTTACTATTGAATAAGTCAACTATTTAAATCAACGTTCCAAGCAAATTATAAAACATTCAAGGATATTCATATTCACACTAATAATATTTAAATTATAGATTAGTTTGCGAGAGGTTGTTAGGTAGCTCTTATATAAGAGAAGTGTTCCGGGCCAGTCGGATCTTGACCTTGCTTACCAATGTTTGCCTTATCAATAAAGATTCTGTAATACGATTCGCTGGAAAATCGAACTAAATATACATATACGTTATATTAATTGCACAATTCTAGAACTTTTGTACTATAATATAGTTTGTAATCTCATTTACAAAATATCAAACAACCGAGCAATTGCAACATATTTACTAAACCTTTTACTCGCATGATTAGGCGCTAAATTAGATCACGAAACGTTATTTATTCGAGTACATCATAATTCTGATGTATCATTTATATATCAGCTAGTAATGATACTTTATAACATTAGCTGCATAAAAGTTCTGCAAAAACATTTTTCAAGTTGACATTAGCTGCAGGCTGCACCCGACAACGAACACGTTCGCATTGAGCACTGCTTCGGTACAACCTTCTCAAATGACAGCTCGGCATAATAACAACGGGCAGTTGGTATTCAAGCCAAGGCCCTGTAATAATATATTAGATAGCTACGAGCGAAGTTTACGATTTAAGTTAGAGGTGAGTATTGATTCCACTCTAGTTATCATTATTCATATCTATTATGCCAGATATTGTTACACGTTAAATAAACTGAGTAACCAGGAGAGGGTTGTCTTTAACCGTAAGTGGTTGTATTTAGAAGAAAATTAATAAAAACAAATT